GTAACACCCCGACAACACGTTGCGCAACAGCCTCGCGCGGTGTTCCACGACTGCCGTTAGGAGCTACGAATTATAATAAACGGACACGAGTCGCCGAGGAAAGAAGAACAGAAATATGTACTTGGTCGCGTCGTAATCGGTGCATCAATTTTAATCATTTTTTTCCAGGTCAAAAGCGGCGGGGACTGATAAAATTCGCCACGATAAACTTTAAAACGCGTCCCGGCGAACGAGCACGCAAGTTCCATTGAATCTCCGACCGCCGACTGATTCACAGCCTCGCGATAAATGGAGCCCTTAAGCTGCTAATGATCGTGTCGGAGAATCTCGAGGATCCTCCAGACGTTTTAACAAATTCCTTCCCTTTCGTCGATTCAGATGCTGTACTAGGAATCGAGTCGATAATAAGATGCAAAGAGAATCCGTTTGCGGATTGTTAATAGTTATTTATAAGGCACGCGAAAAGCTCGTTTCCGTACGCGTGACTAAGAAGATGACTCATTTTCAGAATGGAAAGAAGACGTAATATTCTTATAGTTAAATTATTGCAAAACATACGATGTGTGTACGGTATCGAAAATAATTAACCCTTTGACTGCTAAAGGCGTATACGTTTTCACAAGTCTATCAATATACACGAAAGACGTAAATATACGCCCTGACGTATCCATCAATATACAGAGTGTTCGGCCAACCGTGGGAAAAATTTTAATGGGAGATTCTAGGCGCCAAAATAAGACGAAAATCAAGAATATCAATTTCTTGACTGAAGCTTCGTTAAAAAGTTATTAACAATTAAATTAAAAAATTTCAAATCGTTCTAAAAAAAATATTTTTAGTTGCAAGGGTCAATTACAATCATTTTTAGTGAATAGACATACCCCCGAAATCCTAGGCACTTTCGAGAAAAAAATTCCTTACCGAAAATCTAACGTGAGGCCAGAAATGCTTCCCTGTAATTTCATGCGTATCTTTAAAATGTCATAACTTCTGAACGGATTGGAAGAATATGTGAAAATTCCAAAAATATTCGAAAAGTTATTCTTTGACACCGCAAAATAAGAAAAACCCCATAAAAATGGTCCAATTTTCAAATGTTTATAAGGCCTACAATAGTGAATATATTTCATTGAAACTTTTTTCTGAAATAAAGCCCATGGTTACCTACAAAAAAGTATTAGACAACTTTTCTGTAGGGGGTCAAACAAAATTATTAAAAACCAAAAACGAATTTTTAAGAAAAATCGTAGGTGCCTAAATTTTACGACGAAAAAAAAATTTCAAATCGTTCTGGAAAAATTATTTACAGTTGCGGGGGTAAATTACAATCATTTTTGGTCCTTAGACATACCCTTGAAATCCTACCCACTTGCGACAAAAAAATTCGGGAAGGTGTAAAATTTATCGACCAAATTAAAAGATTTCAAATCGTTTTGGAAAAATTTTTGTCGGGTGCGGGGATCAATTACAATCATTTTTGGTCCTTAGACATACCCTAAAAATTTTACCCATTTGAGAAAAAAAAATTCGAAAATGTGTAAAATTTTTCGACAAAATTAAAAGATTTCAAATCGTTCTGGAAAAATTATTTTCGGTTGCGGGGGTCAATTATAATAATTTTTGGTGAATAGACCTACCCCCGAATTCCTAACGAGTTTCGAGAAAAAAATTCAGTATGGGTGGAACTTTAAACGTTAATAACTTTTTAACGAAGCCTCCATGAACAAATGAGTATTCTTGATTTTCGTCGTATTTTGGCCTCTAGAATACCCCATTAAAATTTTTCCCAGGGGTGGCCGAACACCCTGTATACGAAAAGCGTAAATTTACGCCCTCTGCATTTCTTTTACTACAACACCTTTTACTGTTTTACCAATTGATTCGATATGGAATTGGATAAAAATTGGACATTTTAATTTATTTGCATTTATTATTTTTTTCTCTTAAATCTCCGGGTACTTTTTTGGTCACCAGTCGCAGCGACAGTCATGTGACGATCGCGTCATCTATGTTGATGGATTCTTCCTAGCTCACGTTTGCCTCGACTTCCTCCTCCGAGTGCATTTCATGAACCACTCTTTACCTGCGGATGCATCTCGCTACGCACGTAAACACTGTTTAAAACCTATCGTTATCGCGGCTTATCGAGCCAGACCATTGAACCGTGATTTTATCAAAGAATTTCCCCCCCCGCGAGATACGCACGCGGTACCGTTTCCGTGAACACGAAACAATGGAGGAAACGAGAGCAGGATTGTTGCCTCCGACGCCCGCGTTTAACCCCTCCACGGATTCGTGGCATTCCTCGGTCTTTGGTTTCTACTTGGAATCTTCGTCACGTACCGGAGAAACGAGTCGGGGCTTCGGCGGTGGCATTAGGGATAAGAAGAAGCCGCTCCTATTATTAGGGGAAAAATGGAACATCCCCCCTCCCTCGGGACGAGCGCCTTTACCAACCGAGTTACCAAAAATCTGTGAATGCCATGCTGGACACGGGCCGTCCAGGCTCCTCTCGTTCCACGGACCATCTGCCCCCGGTCATTCTCCTACCTGAAACTTCTGTTCACCTGGCGCGTCCCTTCCCACCCACCCTCTCACCGTTACTTTCGTTTATCTTATTTTCGGGACCATTCAAGCAGTCTCCTGCCAACCACTGCCACCGGTTCTTTGTGAACCAGCCTGTTTCGCGATACGAGCCCTCCGAGCTGAGAGCTCTCCACCTCCCTTACTCCTCCTCTTCTCAATGGAATTCGCCAACAGCTGGACCAGCCATGCAAGAAATGGATCTGCCCGGGTGGATCTCTCCCCGGGACTTATGCTAAACAATACGTAATTACGAACGATACGCGCTATAAACGTAAACCGATGCTCGCTCCGCGCCCGTAGCAGACTCGACGCCAACAAATGGACGCTTTCGGTTAATCTCTGCGGACTCGAGCGGAACAATGCGTACGCGGTGGCCGCACGAAACGAACGTAAATATTTATAGGTCAACGGGTGCAACTATTAAATTACTAATTGCTCGGAAATACTGGAAACCTAGTGCATCGTGCGGGGAAAACAACTTTTATTTCAAAAGAAGGTAACGAATGTCGCGACGATTCTCATTCGATGGAAAGTTTATTGAGATCGTGAATGAATATTTATAAATATAAATTGGAGTTTTAATGGGGCTCTCGCGTAACAGATGTCTTCGTGGATGTATCGGATTGCTTCGCTCGTAAAAATTTGGCACATTCTGCCGCATTGTTGAGGAGTGACGTGCCCCCGTTGAGGCGAACTATGCGGCTCGTATGTAAACTCGATTTCTCGCGGATTCGACGCGTATAATGCATGCCGATCGAGCGTTAAACGCGTACGGTTAAACATGCACAGGAATGCAGTTTACGCGGAATGTTAATGAAACAATTAACCGACGATTACTGGGCGAGTCCCGGGTCTGGGACGAAACGATAAATCCAACGCTACAAATCACGGGAGACGCACGGGCGAGCGAAAACGCGTCGATACGATTCCGCGAGGATTTCTGCATCTTGATTGGATCCGCGTGTCATCAATAGCTCTTCAAGTCCCGTGAATGAGGGTTCATTAGGCGGGCAAAAATATCAATATTTCGTGTTCTTCTCGGTGCACGGCGTTTGCAATCGTAAGGAAGATTTAACTTGGATCTTTCGTCGACTCTTGAGTTTACGCTCCAAACGATCGTTTCACCGAGGATTTCGTGCATTTCTAGGGTGTGTGGATAAGAAAACGCATGTGTATACAGAATATTATACACAGCATATCGATTTATGTATTGATTAAATTTTTTAATATTTTTAAAATTTATTTATTTTTAAATTGAAGTTATCGAAATTTGATATTGTATGTATTATGATAAAAGAGGGTGCTTAGTCACTGGTGACGTTTTCAAGTATTTTGAATGGAACCATAAACCGTGACGCGATGTCCCAATCTACTGTAGAATTTTCATTGAAAGTAAAAGTGAAACTTATTGAGAGATTAATTTGAAATAAAAATTAAGATAAAATACATAGTTACTTTGAATGATCCTCCTATTTTTAAGGACGATTTTTTCAAAATAATTTAGATAGCGTTATTTCACGGTGAAATTTCTAAAATGTTCGTCAAATTAAACAGTCTATCTTGAAACAATTATTCTCGCATACAAATTGATTTCTATGTAAAATGATTTCACGTATTATTAAAAACAATTGTTAATAACGATGTATAACCCTCGAACTAATGACTCATCGCTCGAAAGATGACTCATACCATTGAGATATAACATAAAAATTGTATATAATACGAAATATGAGCATATAAATATTAATATACTCTGAATGGACTGTACGACATATATATTACATATTACGCGAAATAAGGAACTATACAGGGTTGTTATGTTCCAAAAAAAAAAACCCAATTTACAAAACCAATATAGTTACATGAAATGCGATCCGAGGAACGCAACATATTCATGGTTGTAATTAAAATTACACGCAATTATAAGCTCATAGGACAATAGATGAGGTTCTCGCTGGTCTAGCGTACGAGGAAGAGTAATTAAGCTTTTTTAAGACAGTAATTGTTCCTTCCGCAACAACGATTACGACTTGCTCGCCGATGCTGCCCACAATGGTAACTATTGTTGCAATTGCTTATACGGAGCGGACGGTGAGGTAACTGTTAGTTATTCGTGATGCATGCGAAATTATCGCGTGAGTAGATTCGATCCTGAGGCTTTAAAGTTTCCTAGCACGCTCCTCGATCGCCCACACTAGCGCGCGCACTCGACTCGACGGCGTTATATCTAAATATAATTTGCTAATTGAATCTTTGAAAGGCCGTCGCCAGTGCGTTCAGCGGGTAACAGACAACGCTGGTCGATCAAAGGATCCTTCGAGCATTGGTACCGATCAACCGAATCGTTTCACGCGATTTCGAACGACCGGGATCGCGATATTTTCCATAAACGAGAGATCGGGCAAGGTACTCACCGTGGACGGCGAATAGTATCACCAATAGACCAACAAATCTTAGCGGCGGCATGTTGTATCGTCTTTGTTTGAAAAAGCACTGTCAACAAACCGGGCACAATTGGCACTACTGTCGACGTTCGGTCTCGAACCTCGCTTCCTTCGACTCGACTAACGTGCGACTCCGCGCGACTGGACGGTTTTTCGCGACTCCGGTACGATTGGTCGTTAAGGCTGAATTAAGAACCGAACGTATCCACCGATACGAGGTGGATACCGAATACAAACTGAGAGAACGAACGCGCGTGGTATCCGAAGAGCGGCGACGGAATCGCGCCCCCGGCTTTTTACGGGGACCTGCGCCGACCGGTTGCGCACCAGACAGAGAGGCAAACTCGACACGCGCCTCCCCTTCTGTACGTATACACCGACACGCCTGGAACCCTTTCAGTGTATGCGGTACCATCAAACTGGTACTAACGCGCGTCCGTACGAAAGCGAGTGTACGTTTCACGGCGCAATGTTGCCCAAGTACGAATTTCTGTCCGTCAGTTAATAAAATACTACCATCGCCCATTTTTTACATCGACTCCCTTTCAAATTCCCAGATTTTTCACTCAAATGTTTCTCAACGTCTGCTACACGCTTTGGGGGGCTCTTTTCCTTGGAATGAGAGAATAAAAACTCGCATATTTTTCATTTATTCCGGAATACTATTTTCATTCCTCGAAAATGCGATCTTAAAATTTCGTTAGTATTATCAAGAATTTTGCATTAATCTGTATCCCCAATAAAACATTTTTTACATCAGCACAAAAATATCAGATCTATGCATTAGTAACACAAATATGGTAGTAGAATTACAGTATGAGTCAGTGTATGAAAACGCCGGGATTTCTGGGAATCGCTGTTTGAGGATTTGTGGCATAAACCACATTCTGGAAAAATTAATTAGTCAGATACGTTCCACGTAGATTTCAGGCATATAGAATTTAAGATTAGCGAATACGTTGCAAAAGCCCGCGATCAAACATCAATTGAAAATGATAAATTTAATGAAAAGTAATCCCGCACACGTGTATCTGTGCGCGTAAGAACCGTGCATTTGTAGGTTACTTTCGTTGAGCGCCAGCCTCTTTCAATTCATCCATTCACTTCATCATTGTGCATAAAACGAATGGAGAGGAACATTCGCTGTTCTGTATTCATTTATCTCTATGCTATTTGAAAAACGTTTCATCGAATATGTATCAGTATTACCGGCAATGTCAATGAATGATTAAATTAACCTTCCGAGAAGCACTTTTATCGCGGTAACAATAGCATTTTACTCATCTGATCTGACTAATTTACTAAGAAAAATCGCTATTTCTATTACGCTCGTGAGCGTAACATGTAAAAATAGTTCGCAATTACGTTGCACGACTTATCAACCAAATGATTCATATCTGTGGAAAAAAATTTTGATGATGTCACTCGAAAGGTACATTTCATGATTATTTCTGTATTTTTTTTTATACTAAACTTACTCACAATTCTTTCTATCATTAAGGTTATTCAAATACTTTCACTTCTTCTTTTGTCGAATAAGAAATTACTGCTGTTGCTACCTCGATGTAAAACAACGTGCACAAGCAGCGACTAAGTTTAGAGGAAAGTGGAATTTCAGTGAAGGAAATATTTGCATGTTGAAGTACTGATAACACGTATCAAAAAATATTTAAAATTTATATCCGCCAGGTGAACGGCAGTCTAGCGCGTTTCCCTTTCTGCGATAATAAACAAAGCCCTTGCTTTGTATCTTACGGTTATCTGTGCAAGTATATCAGTGAAGTTCCACCAAGTATATACTCTTGTTACAGTTTTTATTTAACACCTGATATCGCTGGATCAAACTATTTATTATTCAGTTTTGCAACGACATGTTCGAAACAAAATGATTAAATTTTACATACGACTTGGAAGATAACGGAATTATTATTAGCGACTTGGACTTCGTCGATCAGCGTTCAGTACGGTCATCTCGTGGCGGAGCCACGAAACTACATCGCGGTGAATTTGTTAATTACATGGGATACGAGTTGCCAAGTGTACGAAAAAAAGAAACTTTCTCGCTTATCGTAAGAAAATATTGCCGTCCTAATTGTTGATGTATTCGCGGAAATAGAATAACTCGAATAAAATGTACCGCGAGTATTTTCCGGTGTAACTGAATCAGAAAATTTCCATTGGAGGAGAGCTGCGTCTGATTGGTTGCTTTCGAAACGGCCGCAAATCCCGCGGAGAAATCCGGATGCGTTAGCGAACGCAAAGGGACAAAGGACGCTGTCGTACGCAAGCAGATAGACGCCATGTTCATTTGTCAACGGACGTCAAGGTGTGATCATCAGAAGAAACGGGGTTGCCCTCGATGAAGTATAAAGATTATTTAGTGCTTGCATAAAATTACCGTACAGTTCGCGTGTATATAAAGCCGTTTAACGATATGGCGTCCTCGGAGTCACGGAAACGTAAACTGGAAGAGTACGAAATGCAGCTGTTTGGCTTTCATTCAAGAGCCGTGTACGCTACGAGTAAGGCGCCGCCGATTTTGATTTTCGGTTGAATGATTTTCAGATTTTACGACATTCCCGCTATACGCAATGGTATATTCTAATCGTTGGACGGGTGCACTCTGGTATCATGTGGATTTAATCATGACTAGAGTCACACTCGTCCAGTGCTTGGAATACTTTCACCGGGCCCTTGCGAACGAAGTTAATCACAAAGGCTAACGCTACTTCTCTTCTCTTCTCTTCTCTTCTTTCACGCCACGAATCGAAGCGGGAAACAAATAAAAATTGACCTTGTACCGATATATGTATCCAGTTTTAATTGCATCTTTTCTTTCGCCTCGTGTATTTCTTTTATCCGAGAGCTCGAGTAAATCGTAAAATTTATACGAATACACACAAGTGATATTTCGAAGAGGTAGCTGAACTTGTTTTCGCTATACGAACAGTTCATTTGCCACTTTCTTGTATTCCCACGCAAATATTTTAATAACGCAGTATATAAACAGTATTATTATTTTTAAAGCGATCGAATACTAACGAAGTTTTAATAAATTTATGATTTTATTATAAAGCATTTTTTTTTTTATTTTTTTGTAGTGAAAAATATAGTATTTGACAGGATTCATGGTATTACTAATAATATGTGCGACACGATTGAGAAAACGTACAAACTGAACTCTGAAAATGTGAAAATACTTAAGTTGAATCAAAAGAAATTACAAAAGGCATATTGCAAAGGAGCAACATCGCATTTGAAAAGCATCGAGGTAATTACATTAATGCTTAAGTGAAAACACATTTTCTTTTTAATATGTATGCCTGATGTTTATCGATACTGTTGTTCAGAATGTTGTAAACAAATACATTGCTGTGCCAAGTAATGTCTTGTTAGAAGAAGATAAACATCAAAGGATACAGTACAGTACTGTAGAATTTGAAAATATGAAACAGAGTTTGGAAGCTTTACAACAAAGAGCAAAAAGTGTATGTATTTACAGGTTTATTAAATCTTATTTAAATTTAGAGGATTTGGGCGGTTTATGGAGACCTAATTTTGTACGTACATTACAGGCAACTATTTTTAATTCTGTATTGAAAGAAGAATTAGAAATACTAGAGCAGCTTCCAATATCTGAAGACAGTGTAAATGAAAAGTGCAAAACGATCGAGAGTGGCCTTAAATGTACAGATCTAGATAACAAAATGGTACAATTAGTGGAAAATTACGAAAAATTGCATAACAGTATATTTGGTGCAATAACAGTCACAGAAAAAGTAAAGTATAATGCAATAGATAACCTTAAGTGCAAAGATTTAGACATAAATGATTTATAACTTTTTCGCATTTTGAATGCGATGCTACGGTTCAAAGTATATCTTTGAACAGTAATAAGTAAATATATGATGTATAACATTCTGTGAATGTGAATTGCTATTCGTACATGTTGTATTTTTATTAAGTATTTTTTATACAACAGATAAGTAAATTGAATATTAAAACTTGCAATCGAACGTAATAAATGTTTCCGATAAGCCTTCATAAAATTATTTCCATAGTTTTAATGTGGACTGAATGATACTACGGTATATACAATACATAATATAAAAATTACTTCACAAAAATTCACAACACTTGAACGAATACATAAATGTAATATGAATATGATAATTAATTTTATGCCATAACATGAATTATCTTATTTACCTTGTACACATTTTTATTCTATATTCATTTTCGTATAGTATGAGTGAAATAAAATGTTAGGAAGCTAATACGAATAGTAGGTAGAGAAGAGTAAAATTTAAACAACGAATAAAGGATGAACAACCCTTAATCTATCGTTTCTTCGATAAGAATTGTAATTTTGTTTATAAATTGAAAATACAATCGTTCAATAATATTTCATGTTAAAGGTTAGGCACATTTCCAGAATATGCATGAAAGTAATACCATTTACGGTAATAAAAGTACACGAAATAATCGAAAATTCTCAAGAATTTAATAATTATACGATTAATCTGCCGTTAACTGGTTTCACTTCCATCCGTAAGGTCACTTACACGACTCCCTTCTCCAGAAGCAAACGTAGGTAGTAGGGATACCACTGGCAAACCGAGGAAGTGTATTTTGCACATTTATACTGGGGCGCGCTTATTCAGTTTTCGAGCAAACTTTCAGCCTGCTCGATCGAGGAAAAGTAATACAAAAAAAATCGTGAAGAAAATATTTTAGATGGAAATATACGTTTTGAGATCTCATTACGTATTTACTGTTGAAAAAAATTTCTTTTATTTAATCTACATATGTACGTAAGTGCATGGGGTGATCCCCAGGATGATCATAGATCCCGCCTTAGACTTCAATTTTAATATACAAGTTGTATTCTAATATCGAACTCTCTTTAGATCGATCGAGAATACAAAAACAATGGACTTAATTCCAAGGAATAGTCATTCTTTTACTTCAACATTAGGCCTCTTTCGGACGAAACAACATGGACGAGTAGAATTTTCTCTTTCTTGCACATTATTTCGTTTGGTGACTCGCTCGTACGTTCCCCGCCAGAGCAGGTAGCTCTGGTAAAACGGTGTAATTGCATGTGCCTGTCTGTGCAAGACTGTGTGAAACTGTTTTTTTTTTAAACAACCGGAGTAAACTCGTCGGATAGCATAACGTCATCAACTGCGTGCGATGCAACGGTGATCGGTCGTCGCACGTAGTGTATGAGAGACACCCCCCTCCCCTCCCACCAAAAAAAAGGAATGTACAGATCGAGTGACTAAATCAAACAAAATGCGAGAAAGAAACCATTGTACTCGCTCGTGCACTTTCGTGTGAAAGAGTTTCTACTAAATCATTCTTACATTCTATAGTCACGTAAAGGCAAATCGACCATTTGGCGAATCGATTGTTTTACCATCTGGCGTAAGCCAGATTGTTGATTTTGTCAATGATCGAAACGTACAGGGTAATATAAATCATATACGACGTACATCCAACAAAACTTTCTCGAATAATTCATGCGACTGATTACTCAAGAAATTGACGTACCATTAACCTTTTTATCTTCCATTAAAGAAAAACAAAGAATTATCAAAATATTGTATAGAAACAGTTTAGTAGAATTACTTATAATTACTAATTCAGTTAAATGATTATAATTCGAGAACAAGTTGAAATAGACGCATGTTTAACTGAATTTTTTTCATTGTTTTTATGTTTTTATACGAATCGTAGATCGACGATTTTGATTTTTGGCCATGTACTCATTGGATGGTTAAAAAAAAATCGAATACAAATAACGAGAACCAATGGCTTTGGTGGTTTACTCGTGTTCCTTAAAAATAAAGCCACGTCCAACTTTATGTATTGTATTTCTGTACCTTTATACACAAATAAACGTTTTTACTGTCACAGTACATGACAATACCAAAAATATTACCAACTGTAACAAACATTAAAAAATCTATTGTATATTCGGTTGAGAATAAATCGATATTACGAAAGGTACGCCAATGGCATAAAGTTTCGCCTGTTTTCCGTGTAGAGTGTTGTGTAGTCCTTTATAAATCGCGTGCGGTTAGAGTAGGGATGAAAATGCGTGAAAATTTTGTATTCGTTACCGCAGATTAACAAATACATTGTATATTTTCGAACTTCCGAACAATCAGAGGATTTTAAATTAATTGTGACATTATTAAAGGAAATAATCAATCGTCCATAAAAATATATGTGTACGTAATCTTCTACGTTTGGTTCATATAATTTTGTTTTCATTGATACGGACGGAGTGTCTATACCATTTGATCTACGATGTTGTAACGTATTAACGATCAATTTTATATCGAATATTCGTGAAAGTATTCTATGTATAAAACGATAGTTTCGACAAAAATATTATTAACCGATATATTAATAATTTTAAGTGATAAATTTAACATGCACAAATAGGTAGGTAATCAAGATGTCAGAGCAATATGTGGGCTGTACGGTTTCTGTTAAATGTATCGAAGAAATTGGAACTTATCAAGGACAGATAGTTGATTTGAATAAAGATTATGTTACGCTTTCAAAAGCTTTCTGTAATGGAGTGCCTCATAGTTCGTCTATTGTTGTATTAAGGTGACACGATTATACTTTCTTTCATCTAATTACATTAATAAATGCAAATATAATGGAGATTATTAAGCAAAACAAATTGTATACAAATATATTTAAGAATAATGTGTTTTATTACTTTCAGTGTAAAAGATATATTGAACGTTCAGTTTATATCGATTAACGAGACAGAATCTACTGCAAATGATAGTAATCAAACACAGAATAAAGTAACTGTAAAAAGACCTATCGCTAAAAGAGCCGGTAGATCCTTTTCAGAAACTATTCCATTTTCTACTCAGTCCACTTCGTCTCAAACTCCATCTAATATAAAAAAACCAGATACTAATGCCCAATGCCCTACGGAACAACCATCAAACGGAAGGGTTCCATTAGGTACGAAACAACAAAGTGAAATTCTTCTTTGTATCATAAAAATACCTAGTATATTTAACTGAAAATATTTTCTCAGCCGAATCTGCTGGTAAACCAATACAAAAACGATTAAGTCATAGACAGAGAGCTTTAGAACGAGATGAAAACACGTTTGGTACACCAATCGATCAGTCTTTGAGTCAAGATTTTGATTTTGAGAAGAATTTGGCATTATTTAATAAAGAGGTTTGTACTCAAAATAATATAAGTTTCAACACTGTCCTTTTTTAATGCTGTTAACAGTTCCATTGAAATAGTGATAAATATTGAGCATATTGTTTGCAGGCTGTGTGGCAAGAAATAAATTCATTAAAACCTGACATTATCAGGCAATCTGAAAATAACAGGGGTACTACTGGAATATATAGGCACGATGAAAATATTATTGTTTCCGAACCCACAGTTTTCAGACAAATAACAGTACCTAGTGCAGATGAGAAAGAATATGTAACTGACAATGGTCTAATAATTCCTAGCATAACTCTTAACCTTCATCGTCAATTAATAGGAGCGGCAGATCGACTCGGAATTAGTTGGGAGCGTAGAGTATGTACAACACATTTAAAAACAAAAGAGTATGTCCTTATGTCTAAAATTTTATTAATTAGGTGGAACTTCTTGGCCGTGCTGGTGCAGAAATTATTTTGCAACTATTGGGGGGAAGTCATAGACTCAATCCAAATAATGCACACCAATGGCCAACGGTTGTTGCGCTTTGCGGGCCTCATCGTTCTGGTGCAGCAGGTGTTAATTGCGCTAGACAATTATCTAGTCACGGCGTTAAAACAATAGTATTTGTAGAAAATTCGGAAGATGTTTTCCTTTTACAAGAGTTATCTTTATATAAACTAACAGAAAATAAGGTAGAGACTAAAGTTAAGAATTTACCGTCATTGGTGGATTTAATAGTCGTGGCACTTTGCGACGAAAATTCTCCAAAAGTAATTACCCCGATAGCAAAGTGGGCAAATAGTAACAGAGCACCTATTTTAGCTATTGAACCACCAGCTACAGGCACACCTGGTATTTTTAGTAAATTCAGCTTACTTGGTGGATTACCATTGTTCCATAGCGTTAACAATGGTAGATTATATTTATGCAATCTTGCACTGCCGAACGAAGTATACAGAGACGTTGGTATCACATACAGGTCTCCTTTTGGACCCAAATTTGTCATTCCTTTGCATTCCAATAACTCTTAGCAAAATTATACGGACGACACTTCTCATAGGATATCTTAGTTTAATATTAATTTTAAGTCTTGCATCTATAAAATTATACTTATTTTTCAAAAATATTTTCCAAATTTATTTAAATAAGGAAAATGATAATGTCGCATTTAACATGATGTAGTTAAAATATTTTCTGTACATAGAGTGTTGTATTTTAATGTGCAAAATCACACATAACTGTTTTTTTACACGCGTAAGTATATAATGTATGCAAAAGTTTCACATGGAAAGAGGCAGACTGATATAAAAAGTTAGTGATTTCTAATTGGAAACAATAAATTGTACAATTTCAAAACAAATTACAAATCATTGTAATTCAATATTATATATGCATATGTTTGTTTGATTCGTTTGAATAGGTGTGCTGTTTGCTATTGCAATATGCGCATAATATTTAATTATCAAACAATATAATCAGATAATAGAAGTTATGTACATATGAAACATGCGTCCTACTTTTATCTATAACTAGCAGAACTTAATATTGCTGAAATGCTAGAATAAATGGTCTAAATTCAAATAAATCATTACGGAAATGAAGTTTTGTGTTACTTTAGATTTTGATTATTCTAATTCTGTAATAAAGAAGACCAACATATTTTTTTGTAACTTAACTTGCGATATATTGACATAAAAAAAATTTGTGAAGTACTTATTTATGAATTGTCTACTAAAAGTACAATAGAATTTGCATTCAACATTACCGTATAACTTACTATTACAGGGCAAAAGGTAAACAAAATTTTATTACATTGTTTAGAGCGTAAAATAAATAATGGTTGTTATAGTTTTTAAACTTGTTTTTATATATAGAGTATAATAATGAATTTGACTTGAACTTTTCAGTTCTTTTACCTATTGTTTATCGTTATAATATTCTGAATTAAATATGTATACATGATCTCAGAATATAATGTAAACTAAATTGCACGTTTTATTATACATTGTGCCCAATATTACCGAATAACGTACGAAGTATCATGATGTAATTGAAATAGTTATAAAAGATATTTCTATAAGATTTATTTTAACTGTAGCTAGCCTAAGTAAGTTATTTATATTTTATATGTAAATATATATTTATGTAAGATATTTGTGGCTTTCACAGCCTGAGTTCTGACAGTTGATACTGATTGAGGAGTATACCCGGAAACCTCAACCAGTATATATATTTATATACTTTGGGAATTAATCGTGACATCTGGCGACGATAAATTATAAGAATTATTTTGATGTAATTTTTCAGAAATTCTTCGATAATTGACGAAGTTAAACATGACTTACGAATATATACTGCGAAAGGTAAACTAGCTATCTATTAAATGAATCTAAGCAGAATAAATCAACAAACATATGTTTGATGGTTTAAAGTAATAATTATTTAAATTCTCATGTTTATAACATAAATGAAAAGTTGTGGTACTCCTGATATCAGTTGAGTTCTTTTTGATCATAGCTTCCTTGAACTTCTACTTTTTTTTTTACTGTATTAATACAATTTCAGTAAAGTAATAACACAGAGTTGTAGAAAAATAATGAGCTGATTCTCTATTAAGTAACGTTACGTTGTATATTTATTGTCAAGTTTCATAAATGCAATGCAAACCAACAGACTTAAATCCATTACAAAAATATTTCAATACTGTACTTCAGCCCGAATTAAGGTTACACATATTTCATTATTATATATAACCATTCTAATCTATGAAAATTGTACTATCGCAATATTATCAGATACATCAATGCAACAATTTTTTATATTATATCAGGAACTACATTTGTAATTTTCATTTAAGAGCTCTAAGGTTGTTTATTTTTTTTTTTTTCTTTGAATTAAAATTCGCAACAATTTTTATACGTATTTAGTAACTATTAGTTTTATTGTTTTCGCTAAAATATAAGAGCTGAACAACCATCACATGATATTTATATCGTAAAACGTTTGTTTCCACAGTTCCGATTTTGTATAAGGACAAACGTATCATTAATTATTATAAACAGATAAAAGAAGTAAAACGCTTCCAATTAAATATTTTAAAAGTGAATAATCTTTACTTTTAAGAATCCCTGAATCAAGAACGCAGAACTGTAGAAACAAGTTAACTCAGTCATTCTGTTTCCGTGCAATTTACCACTCGCAACAGGGCTGCCGAACCTGTGGCCCGCGGGCCAACACGCTGCTCCTTTACCGCCTAATTATTCCCACCTTGCTTGCGTCTGTGCGATTACGCGATTAGCGTAGTCAGAAAAATGAGCTGAATTCGATTTTTGAAGAGTGGGGACCTTCGATACTAGAGTTTCTGATTTTGAACGTGTATTGAAGATACACGTGTAGTTAATATATGCGTATCTTAATCCGTGTACTTTTCAATACACGGGTACACGGGTATTGAAATACACGGATACACGTGTATTGAAGTATATGGGTACACGGATCATAATATCTATACATGTATCCGTTTATTGAGGTTCGCGGATACACGTGTCGAAATGTACTGTTCCACATGTATTACCCGTACCGCAAGTTTTATTTTATAATTAAATATCAGAATATTTAGATGTGTAAATTGTTTATGAGACTTAATTTACTGGGTAGTAGGTGAAAATAAGAAACATTATGGTTTTGGTTAATAAAGTTCAATTTATTAAATTTTTGTTTTGGTTTTTTTTTTATACAACGAAATCACCGATAAGAATGATGTTTATATTCAAATTGAAACATATATGACCGAGCCACATTACGCTTTGATTTAAATCCATTTGAATGGTGGAAAGCTAGGGCAAACAAATATCCAGCAATTTCCGAAGTTGCCAAAAAATATTTAACAATTCCAGCAACCTCGGCGATGTCGGAACGATGCTTTTCATGCGCTGGAAATATTGTAACAAAAAAAAGAAACCGTTTGCTTCCAGAGAATGTTAACACCTTAGTTTTCTAATCTCAAAACAAAAATTTAATAAATTGAACTTTATTAACCAAAACCATAATGTTTCTTATTTTCACCTACTACCCAGTAAATTAAGTCTCATAAACAATTTACACATCTAAATATTCTGATATTTAATTATAAAATAAAACTTGCGGTACGGGTAATACATGTGGAACAGTACATTTCGATACGTGTATCCGTGAACCTCAATAAACGGATACATGTATAGATATTATGATCCGTGTACCCATATATTTCAATACACGTGTATCCGTGTATTTCAATACCCGTGTACCCGTGTATTGAAAAGTACACGGATTAGGATACGAATATGTTAATTACACGTGTACACGTATATATTAGATACACGTGAAATCAAGATCGCTATTCGATACCTAGCGCCGTGCGAGGTGGTGGGAGAACAACGAAACAATAGGAACACTCGTTCGTTCTCCCACTACTTCGCGCGATACGAAATACTGAAGGGCCCTACTGTTCTCCGCTGACTTGAAGTCCCGTGGCAGGAATGCGAGAAAAGTAGAAGGGGTACACCTATTCCCACGCACACATTGAACTCTGGCTCGCTATTCGTCGCGACAGTTACACACAGATGTGGGCTGACTGCCTGATAGCAAGGGAGCAAGATACATATATAGCGACTCCTCTTGCTCCTGCGTCGTCTCGCGAGACTTCAAGTCAGCGGACCTCACTACATACGTCAAGCTGCTTTTTCCCCACTCTTAAAAAACTGGACACCTGTATCTATACACACAAAATTCCAGTGTAATTATCGAGGAGAATGGCCAGACTAATGATGGGGGACAGTTCAACGATGAGCAGGAATACACAGCTCTGAGTGGACTGCTAGACCAATAGTACAACGACAGGGGGGTAAGTTCAGCAGCCCTGACTCACAAGATCGGTTCTTTCAATCATGAAACATTTCGAATACTTATAAACTGTGAATGACTATTAATAATATTACTAATAATTAATAATTAGTGCGGATACAAATAATCTTATTAAAAATAATTCGTACATATAATATTTACATTTTACAACATATCAGTCATCCCGGAAATAAAACACCGACACACTTGTGAGATTTGATCGCCCCTTGACTGAAATTCAATCTGCATCTAATAAAACTACTTAATCATAGTTCTACATTCGAAATTGACCTCATAGTGATTAAGGCCTCGTATTAATTTTTCATCTAAATTCATTTCGATTTTATTCTCTATTATATCTAGTAAAATATAATTACCACATTTACTCAATGAAGTTTCCATATTTGTTTCTAGGTTTCATTTTAATTATTAGAAGTTTTCTTTATTTTAGAATGTAGTTTAAAAAAAAAAAATTGATCATATTCCTTGAATGTTTAGAAAACAATTAGAGCAAAATATATTAGCACCTTAAATCAATTTTAAAGATACTTATATATATTCAGCCTCAGTCAAAATATCACTTCGAAGTGCATTTGTTTGTATTATCGTTTAATCAAACATCCATGACTTGTGTGATTTTTAGCTTTACACAGCTGCAAATTCGTGAGCTTACAATCGGAAGTATTCCATGTTTATACGTCAATTATGATAAATAAGAGCGGGATAATAATTTAAAAATAATATATAAAATATCGCTTTGCGTGTAATGTTTTTTGAACCTTATAAAATATATTTTAAGTAAACAACTGATACGGAATTTGTTATAGTAACTGCTAAATGGCATGTTTTAAACGACAGACATTTAGTACAATGTCTGCCGTGTATAGGCCAAGAAACACTGTTACACGTTATTTCACGTAAGAAATATCTTGAATATTCCAGTTTGTTTTCGTATATCATTGTACTATATATGCACCAGTAAATGACAAAACGTTTTATTGTCTCCGTTTTATCGGTAGGCGTAGACTGCAACACAAATTTATACCTCACGGCCGTATTATGGTACTAAATTTTGTACAGTGTATTAGACCATTTGAAGTATCATTTTTACTATAGAAAGTAAAAAAATGCACCATGATTAAAGGCGTTGTTAACTAAATTTTACAAGTATGCACCCATTATTAATTTCTATATGTATATATCATGATGACAGTGCTTTCAAAATTTAAGTTCACTCACTCGGAGCTATTAGCAATCAATGATTTTCTTAACGGGTATAAACAAATGTATACCGTTACGAATTCATGCAATTAATTATTGGATCATTACCTTTGAGTTTTCGTTTCTCGTGCATGTTATCTTGATGTAGGTATATTTCTTTTAAAATTGTCTAATTTCGTAATCTCTCATTTTTCGTACAACGTAATCGTCAGAAAATAATCCTTATTATAATTAGGCTATACCTTACGCATTTATGTAAAAAAATACGCCAGTCTTGACTGGTTCTTGTTGCGTCTCCCTAGGAAGCAGGCGTCGGATTAGCTGCTGGCGGTACGGCATTTGACTGTTTTGCCCGTCTGCGTTTAATTAATAAAGCGTTATTTGTGTGGTCCAATTGTTTCAAATTAGCTGTATCATAGTCTACGCGCATCGTAGCTAAAGACCGTGTCATTTCCTCTTGAACTTCTGGCCATAGCTCTCCGTCTTCTCGAAGTACACGCCCGGTATGTAATGGAGTGGCAGGTACTTCCGTGTGTTTCTGTGTAAGAAACGATGATAAAGTAATTTCCATTTTCATATTTTTACAAAAAATAAAAATAAAATTCTTACCGAGATCCATTTGTTTCGCATAACTTCGTCGATTTGCAGTCTTCTAGCCGGGTCTGTACACAACATACCCTTAATAAGATCTTGCGCATCTGTGCTTACATTCGACCATTCGGGAGCTGGAAAATCATATTGACCTAGACGAATTCTTTTTTTCATGCCCGGTGAAATTGCTAAACCATGGTTGCTATAAAAAGGTGGAAAACCGCACAATCTAGAACAATGCATAATATTGTCACGTTATGTAAGTTTCAATGTAAGTTTAAAAGTATGTGTGAATGTATCAACTTACAATATATACATTATAACTCCAAGTGACCATATATCACAGCTTTTATCATACTTTTCTGGTCCCAAAACTTCAGGTGCTTCGCAAACAAAAATAGTACGTTTGTTTAACTTGTACTTACAGGTTCTCCGTTATTAGCATAAGATTCGTTCAAGGTAAATAAAACTCAATCTATTAATACAACTTACCTACATAGTATGGTGTATAACATGGTGTTTGCAACGTATCTTTCAAATGCGTTTCTTTTGCAAAACCAAAGTCCGTGAGCTTCAATATTCCAGTACTATCTGAAAATGCATATAATGTGTTATCAAAATTGTAATTAAATATACATTGTATATTTTCTTAATATGTTTGCATTTATCAATATTTGTAATAACATCTAATACCATCGGAAGAATAAAAATACGTACCAGGTCTGGAATAGAGAAGATTTTCTGGTTTGAGATCCCTGTGTGCTATGTTCATATCGTGTAGATGCTTTACAGCATCACAAATTTCATACATTATCTGTGCAGCTTCTATAGAAGAAATGCAAAGAGTAATAAGAAAATTGTTACACATTAGAGATTTATGATATTAAAGAATTAGAAACAAATTTATTTTCCTTACCCCTTTCGGTGAAAGCACCATCTTGTCTGTCTTGTATTCTCTCAAATAATTCTCCCCCTTCCATGCTGAAGATTATTAAACATAATTTTAATTCCTCCTTTGCAATTGATATTTTATACCATAATGAAATCATCAAATTAAAATATGTAATTACCATTCCATAACAACTAATAAACATTTATTTCCACTGTACGAATTTTCGTATACATCCTTAACTTGGACTATGTGTCTGCAATTCGATGCTCTCCAATGCAACTCAACTTCTCTCCTAGCCTTTACACAATCATATAATACCTACAAATATAAAGAATATACGTTTGAAACAATGGATTGTTAAGATACGTTAATGTATGTATTTATGTTATGGTTTTTACAAATTTTAAGGTTCCATAAAGCCAATACTAATTCTTGAATAAACGAGATGATGTAATCAGTGACAATCAACATGGAATAAACATGAGAAGCGATAACTTTATGACTTGCAAATATTAGGACATCGTAGAATTTGTAACTCTAGCGTGAAAAAGAACATGAGATAGGGCGTATCAATCTTTAACAATTTCTCTGAAAATTTACGATCAGTAAATTTGTCATGTGCTTTTAAAAATGGCGATTGGTAGACAGCTGACGCTGCGTTGTTGTTATATCGGAGTTTAGAAACCTTAGTTAACCTTTAGTTAACCTACTTAAATTATTTGTTAAATATATTTTATTTTTAAGATTTAGTATTAAATTAAGTGTCGTGTGTCGGAATAGAATTAATTATAAAACATGTTTCTCGTGGACCCTCACCACCACATTGAGAACACATAGTTTGAGAAACACTGACGTTCGTGACTTATTACATTCTTCGGTTAAAGTTAGCGATCAACAAATGCAACGTATCCATTATACTGAATTTATTGCTCAATTGTTCGAACTCAATCGGATATAAGGACATCGTGAAACAAATCGGTGGATAAAAATTCTAGGGTCGTAATAAAGTATTCCCAAAAATATGCACGTGTGTAAAACAGTAGACGACATTGTTCTCGCGATTTAAGGCTCAAAATATATAATCGTCGAGTCGAGCTTAAAGAATTGGCAGAGCGAACGTAAGCATTATCTAATGTTCCAAAACTGCTATTGGCACGGTCCAAATGTCTTTTATTTCAGTTCCTTCGATCAGAAGCATTGTTACAATTTCACGGTATTATCGTACACTGTTCCATTTTCTTCCTCAACTGAATTGTTAATACAATATAAAGCATGATAGCGAAGTATCATTTTTCATTGAGATAAATTATATCTTTTCTGTTTGAACATTTTCTGTGCAATATGCCTTTCTATATTTTATTATGCACATACATAAGTTCTTTAGAAAAATGGGAAGAAAAAAGTTTCGTGGTTAGGTGAGATATTTTTACAACGCTGCGTATATTCTTCTAAAACTATTCAAATACAGTCAAAGCCCGAGAAACGAACCAGAAAAGAAAGTGGAAACCGGTTTCTATTAGAATTTATTTCCCATAGAATAGAACAGTATTATCGTTCCACAAATTAGTAGCCGCGTGCAAAGCGCGGGAGAAACGTTTGCGAGCAAACAACGATTTATGTGTACGTTTTTAACGCCTCGATATTATCTAATTGTTAACGAGATGTAATACGTGCAACATCCCATACTTGTTCACCGAGTTCGCTCTTAAACGAAAATACGTTCGTCACGCGTCGCGAACAGATGTCATTTCGTATTATAATGTGATAATGAGATTAGCATTTCATGATATGTCATATACAGGGTGTCCGGCCACCCCTGGGAAAAATTTTAATGGGGGATTCTAGAGGCCAAAATAAGCCGAAAATCAAGAATACCAATTTGTTGATGGAGGCTTCGTTAAAAAGTTATGAACAATTAAATTCAAAAATTTCAAATCGTTCTGGAAAAATTATTTTCGATTGCGGGGGTCAATTATAATCATTTTTGGTGAATAGACATACCCCCGAAATCTTGCGCATTTTCGAGAAAAAAATTCAGTACGAGCGGAACTTTAAGCGTTAATAACTTTTTAACGAAGCCTCCATAAACAAATTGGTATTCTTGATTTTCGTCTTATTTTGGCCTCTGGGATCCCCCATTAAAATTTTTCCCGGGGTTGATCGAACATCCTGTATATACGCATTGACGCGACGAGCAGATGGGCATGCACGTGGAATTATATCAAGCTTTATGAACGGATTATGTTCGTCGTCCTACGCCAAGGTATTTTACGCAGAAAAAGAAACCGTGTGACGTGTTATTAAACGGAACGTGACGCAAATGCGTGCGAAAACGTATATTATATTATCCAGTCTTCTTTTTTAGGTTAGCTATGTATGGTCAGCTGTCAAGACTTGATTGTTTTATTTATCTTTTGAGGAAAACGCTTTTTATGACTTAGACATTCATCTGTCCTTGATATAAATATATAGATAAATAAATATAATTTACAAGCAGAAAAATACGGACGAAACGTGTCTATGCTTGAGAATCTTAATCTTTTAACCGCTGCACTCGAGTATACATGACCGAGGATAACAATATTATTTTAGATATTAAAGTTAGAGATAACGCCAGATGGACGTACTAATATTTTAGTTGCAGTTGACAAGCTTGTATGATCTCTTACTTCTTTATTTCATTTTTACATACATTTATAAGCAGCAATGAAAAGGTTAATGAGGTTATGTTTGAGTCGTTAACGCGATCAATAAAAACATTAACGTTCAGCAATGTACGAAATAAACTCCTCGCAATACTTTTTCGGAAATTTGTTGTGCTACGAGAAGCAACGTATATTTCTGTGTCTCGCTTCCTGTTGTTAAGATTCCATCGACAGAATGCTGAGCTACGCGAAACGAGCATTTTTCTTAAGAAACGGAAAGATAAAAACTAAAGTGCTTCCCGCTACGCAACGGGTAAGGAAAACTGAAACGTAAAACAGTGCATAGCTGTGTATGTAACAATCTGCCTGGCTGGTCGCGGGCAATCAATTAACGAAGGGGAATTTGTAATGAGAAAACTAGGTTGCACCGGTATACCATGACGTCTGCAAATATTGAGTTTTTCATGACTACGCGCTGAAATATGATAGCTTTCTCTTGGTCTATACCTCGAGACATTTCGCTTGAATCACTGACTTATTCATTCTTCGTATACCGTTCCATAAATTCCCTTGGCATTGAACAAAAAATTACCTAGCAAAATAAATATTTAAAAATATTTAAAAATTGTAATTCGTATAAAATAAATCTATCGACTTCCGACGAGAGATATAAAAATTATTTTACTCGTCGGTGCGACGTCTCGGAAGTATTCGAAGGTCGCGAGAGAAATTTATGTAGTTTCCAATTACGTTGCCCGAATAACGAAATTATTGTCCTTGCTGTCGCATATCTTCACGGCCGAGCGATATAATTCAAACCGTTTCACCAACCTACGTGGCTCGTTTCCAATAATTCGATCCATTCGACGTAACAGATTACCATTAAAAACTTCTTTCCGCGCGACGATGATACGTTACCATTTAATCACAAGGTTAATCCCTCGACTAATCCCACATAATTTTGTCTCGCATAGTTCTTTTATAGAAGGGAATAAATCGTCGCATGCACAATTATTATGTACGATACAGTGCTTATTTTACTGCATGCTACTTCTGCCGCGTTCTCATTGATGTAACCCCTCTCAGCTTTTGTAAGCTAATGACCGCCATTACTATCATCATCCTATCTATTAATTCCTCGAAAATAATTTCGTACACGTCACTGTCGTTTCTTCTCTATAATTTAGATTAACAGAGACCCCACAATATTTTAGTACTATTTACATTGCTGATAATAATTATTCAAACGAAATAATATTTATAAATATATTAGAATTTTTATAAACAACGAATATACATCAAAGCTCCAGAAGACTACTAAAGATATAACCATCACTATTCGAGAACCTGTTTTGCTCAAAATCTAATCAGATCTAGAGATGATAATATAGAATTTAAATATAAGGTTTCTATGAAATCTATCAAGTCGTTTAGACGCAATTATGTTAATAGACATACATACGTTAAAAAGAAATGTTGTATTTCTAAAACACCCTGTATATTCTTATTTTTTCTATTTCGTTGCATAACCTGAATAGAAGCCACAGGTGAGGTATTTAATTATGGCGTTATGAAATAATTACGTAACGTGCAGATACAATTGTAAATGATACTGTATACATATTCCCACGTATAAATGTTTCATCGATTATCTGTCGAGATCAGTTATATGTCTAATGATATCTGTGATTGAAAACAGTCGAATCGGAATAATCTTTGTGTACAGTATTTGCACGACACGTTTGTGTTGCATGAAAAAAATGGACGACGGTCATATATCATGATAGCTGCATGGATATCAATTGTTCTAACAGCTAGACCCTTTATCTATTTAGAAAGATATTAATCCTGCGTATTCTTAATCCTGGATTATTTGATAGACCAATACCTTCGAAAGTATTAGTTATTTCAACGTTAACGAATATGAAATCATTGTCATTATATAAATAATGACATATTTTCGTTCGAGCTTATCAGCTATTTCTGTCCATTCAGTCATACGTGTGTATCTACTCCCCACTCTCTGTCGCGCGTGTTTACTTTTTCGAACGCGAAAGAAACAAATTATAATTAGATAAATAATTTAAAAGGATTAAGGCATTATACATCGCCGCAGCAATCAATAACAACCGTCAGAAATATTACATCGGTGAGTGTTTACCGAATAAACAACGACATGTGATAAAACGTAATTGTATACGATATGTATAGGAGCGTATAAAAAATCATCTAAATTCGTCAGTTTTGTTTTTGTTAAGTATAAATGGCTCTATCGATAAAAAAAAATCACGTTAGAATTTTTGGTAATTATTTACCATGTTAACGACATCATTAATTTTATAGAGAAGACAAAAAATAATTATTGCCCATATCAAGTTTCAAAGTTCTACGCATTAGAGGTAAACAATAGGTATATAATTAAATTACTTGGATCTTAGAATGTTTTAGTTGTCGTTATAGTCTTAAACCCAGATTATTATTTTTTATTTTGGCATACTTACAAACTACTGTTGGATGACCAACACGACCATACAAACACCACTCAGTCACATCACAAACATTACAGACTCATTCCTCATTCAAACATCTCAATCGCGATTTCTAATCCTTACTCATCCTAAACCTCCCACCCTTTCTGAGTCACACTGCCCCTTGACTCCTGATCTCTGGGAAAAATTTTCATGGGAGATTCTAGAGGTAAAAATAAGAATACCAATTTGTTGATGGAGGCTTCGTTAAAAAGTTATTAACAATTAAATTCAAAAATTTCAAATCGTTCTGGAAAAATTATTTTCAGTTGTGGGGGTCAATTGCAATTATTTTTGGTGAATAGACATACCTTCGAAATTCTACTTACTTTCTAGAAAAAAATTCGAAAAGGTGTGAAATTTTTCGACGGAAAAAAGAAAATTTCGAATCGTTCTAAAAAAATTATTTTCGGTTGCGGGGGTCAATTACAATCATTTTTTGTCATTACACACACCCCCGAAATTCTACCCACTTTCGAGAAAAAAAATCGAGAAGGTGTGAAATTTTTCGACGGAAAAAAGAAAATTTCGAATCGTTCTGGAAAAATTATTTTCGATTGCGAGGGTCAATTACAGTCATTTTTGGTGAATAAACATACCCCCGAAATACTGCGCATTTTCGAGAAAAAAATTCAGTACTGGCGGAACTTTAAATGTTAATAACTTTTTAACAAAGCCTCCATCAACAAATTGGTATTCTTGATTTTCGTCTTATTTTGGTCTCTAGAATCTTCCATTAAAATTTTTCCCAGGGTTGACTTGAAAGAGTACCTAGTCGACCTAATACAAGTTGTACGAGTTTCTTAAGAAAATGTCGTCAATTCTACTGGAAGCCAACACCACTTTGATACACTTTGAAGCTATTAAAATCGATGAGGTCGATACTAATGTAAATAATTATCGTTAATGTGTCTGGATTAGTAATTTGTACCTGTCACCGAAGACACGAGGCCTCTGATTGGTAGAATCAATCAGAGTGGTGGACGCTTATTCTACCAATTTGAACTCTGTACGCGACCAGCGTTTTACGCGTATGGACAGTAGAATAGTTTCAACCTCGTGTTTGCAGAGGCGTGGTTTCGTATCTCAGGTTTCCACAAATTATAACTTGAAACTAAAAATGGGCGATAGTTATTTTTTTGTCACGGAACATTCGGTGAACTTCCTCCACCAATATACTTCGAGGCCGTTGAAATCGGCGAGGTCGTTAACACGGTAAATAATTGCTGCTCTTCCTAAATACTGATTGTTGAAAATCATATTAATAAATTTGTAAGGTAGTCGAGCACACATGTTTACGCGTGAAACTCGAAGCGATTCGCGCAATCGGTCATTGGCATTCTATGTATCTGCATTTGTAATCGACATTTTTTTGCAAAACCTACGTCAACTTGTCGGTTCAGCTGCTGGTAAACAAGAAAAAAAAGTGTGCGTGCATGCACGCGCATTTTCAAGCAATCCTTTCAAGCGGATGGAATATAAAACTCGCGTCGTGAAAGTAGCAAAATAAAGCGTGTTTTTTTGAATTCACTATATTTTTCTGCGACTTCGTTTCGATATCAAAGTCACGATAATTTCGTCTTAAAACTGTTCCGTTCGACGGCACTTCTGTTACTCTTTGAAATCTCCCGTATGAATCACGGGATCCAAGAGCAACAAATCCACACGCGAAGAAGACACAAATACGAAGATCCACGAAATTTTTCCAAGGAGATACAGAGAAAATAAGAGGCGCGAGCTGGCCTCCTCGGCGATACCACCGCATGGTCGGAATCGTCGAACGGGAAATCATCGAATATAAATAGAGGATGACTCGCAGGTCTGGACTCGCTTGGACATCGTTAGTCGATGATCGTACCTCGCTACGTTAAGTAGGTATCGATACATCGTGGGATCGGCGATCTTCTAAATGCGCGTTAAACGTGCATATTTAACGCCTTATATCGGATTCGTCCTTGGGGCATCATATTCCGTTGTTCCAAAAATAACCAAGGGCAACCGTGTCATGTTACGCTTAAAAGAAAAACAGATATACTTTTCGTGTCTCTTGATAAGAGCCTAAACTCTCGTAAACTACATTGTTACGTTTATCTCGGGCTTATAATGCTACCGAACAAGTAACATGAAAATAAAATATATGACGCTCTCAGCGCGAGTACGTTTCGAGCATGCTGGTTTTATAACCCGTATGTCTGAAACACTGCACGATCGTTCGTGCATGAAATTTTATAATAACCTTCGCAATGTTGCAATTTATAATGAGAAACAGAACGGCAGCCATTGGACTTCGATAACACTTTTTAGCACGCGCGCGCGCACGCACACAATATGCCAATACCTGTGTGTTACAGTGAAAACTCGATAAACTCGTCAGGAACACTTATGAAATAGGAGAATCGTTTTTCGAATTTGATTTTTGCCGACGTCTCGAACGTAGAAAGAGTCAGTAGCTAAAGAAAAAAGAGAAGAACTTCTGCACAGAAGAAACTTTTTTATTTTTTACTTTTTGTTAATAAAAATTTTACTATCCCGCGGGGGGAGATTTTTCTGATCAAAAGGAGACTAAACACGATATAAATCGGTCAATATTTGGTAGAATATATATTGAATTAGATATTGTACTTGCTAGTCTTGCTCTCTTTGTTTATCCTTCTTGTGCTGTCCTTTTCTATCTTCGGGAACATCAAAGTCAAATACATTTATCGTATAGGTGCTAGCTATTTGCAAACGTAACGTTTCCACTGTTCCGTAAGTGATCAGAAACTGCACACTTATGAGATAGGAGCTTTCTACTTACGTTAGCTACCTCTGTTCGATAAATGTATCGTCCTGTCACGAGAAGAAGGCACAGTGTGTTTACATCCCCACTCCTGTTGCAGTCCGGTGACTCCACAGGTATTGGTCGAAAACGGTGACGAAGATCGGTGACAGCCAATCAGCGGACTGCAGTAAGAGTGGGGATGTAAACACGCTGTGCCTTATTCTCGTGGAAGGACGATACTATCCACTGACTTTGGAGACATGTCACTTGAAATTGAACACACGTTTTGACACACAATTTCCGGATTTGTGCAAATTGAAATATTTTCAGAAATGTACATATCAAAGTTATTTTTCATTCAATCTTATGACCTAATAAACATGAACCGATTTATATCGTGTTTAGTCTCATTTTAATCAGAAAAATCTCCCCCACACGATAGTAAAATTTTTATCAACAAAAAGTAAAAAATAAAAAACTTTCTTCCGTACAGTAGCGTGGTCACACTGACGAGGGCATTTAAACGTCTCCAGTTACACTTCGCCTCACTGATTCAAGGGGGGTCCCCCTAGCGGTGGGAATAAAAATGTATCATTTACTGAACAGCTGTCGAGGACATTTATCGAGTTTTCGCTGCTACTAACTTCGCTCGCTGAAAGGCGAAACAAAAAGAAAACCGATTGTTCCACGTTTTCAAATAATCCTTGTTAGAGTGGCGGCACTGCGGATTATCGAATCTATCAACGTTCCACTTTCCCGCGCACAACTTGCACAAGAGAACCAAGCGAATATGAAACAAAGGCGGCCGACTTCCACGGAAGAGGATTTTCAACGTTATCTCTCACCTTGAGCGCATACTTTTCCCTCGTCTTTTTGTCATAACACTGAACAACTTTTCCGTTGATCCCGAGACCGAGTACATGATTACTGATCTCATAGTCGTCCATGATCGGTGTGACTTTTGGCAACCGGTTCTCGCATCTTGTGAGCGTATGTTCCATGATTTTTCGTTTCACTTCCAGGACCGGGGCTTCCTCCTTCTCCTTCGTCGACACGTCGATCTCCGTTTCCGCTGCTCGTTTCCGCTTTCCCTTTTTATTCTCCTCGTTCTCTTCGCCAGCCGACCTCTTGCACTTTCTAAAATGGTAATTTACCGTCAGTTCTATTGCCAGTGGGTTCGTTTCGTCGATACGAGAGGATCTACCAACACTATAAATATACGAAACAAATTGAAGCACTTCATGGGAAACGCGGTAACGTACGATGATTTAACTGTCGTATTGATAAGGAAAACGTTAGAACGATAGCGTACTCGCGTCCCGACGGTTCTGAGTACGCTACACGAGTGACAGTGTAGGTAAAAAAAAAAATCATTGGTGAACGAAATTATCGCTCGTACGGTACGGCGCTTACTTTATCTTTAACATTATTGTGGAGAGCATAGCTTCGATTCGTATTAACTAAATTGTATTTACTACGAGCGACGCGACACACATCAACGCGCTATATACAATCTTAACGTGTATCTTGTTATCTGGTAAGAAATCTATTACCGATCAATTGCAAAGTATTTCTTAAAACAGCAATAAATAGTAAAAAATATTACATAAACTCGATGAATAATTCTCAATATTTACGAACTTGATATGTCGTTATTAATAATCAATTATCGGAGTTAATTTATTTTATAGTTTACATAAAATATGTATATTGTTATCTGGTAAGAAATCTATTACCGATCAATTGCAAAGTATTTCTTAAAATCGCAATAAATAGTACATAAATGAACAATTCTCAATATTTATATATATAAATAAAGAATATAAGTTTATACTTATATTAATCATAATTTTATATTCAAATTTACCTCCTACAATAACATTTATAACAAAATGAATTTTTTTAGAAAATTTATTAATTATAATAATTTTTATCTTATTTTAAATATTAAATCACATTCTTATAAAAATAAACAAAATTGAAATTTAAAAAAATTATTATTTATTATTTTATTTATTTTGATATATAGATTTATAATATATTCATTTATTGATATAACAAATTTTTAATTAATAATATAATATTTTTAAATTTGAAATTTTTTTTTATCTTCATTAATAAATTTACAATTTATTCCTTTATTCGTGCGCAATATTGATAATTTTAAATTAAAAAAAACTATTAATTTTCAAAATTTAAAATATAAATAAAATCATAAATTTTAACAAATTATAATGTGTTGAAATGATTTTATTCGACTAATCATAAAAATATTGGAATATTATATTTCATTTTTGCAATCAAAGTTAGATTAATTTATTTTATAGTTTACATAAACTATGTAGTCGAACCGCATAGAGTTATATTATTGTATGCACGCAGGTACAATTACATGTACGTGCATACATACTCTACGTATTACACAACCACTATAAATCGATTACAGTAAATCTGTAAAACAGTAGTTCACGCGATTGGTGCATTTAAAAATTATCAATAAGATTTATCAATCGTATGCATCAAATATGTGCAGTATTTGCAATGCGTGCAGATAAATGAAATAGGAATATAATAGGAACAATCGTCCGATAAAAAAAAGGTATCGTAAAATGGTGTTGAAAGTCAATCGTTAAAACTCAGCGCTAATTGTACTTCGTTATTATTACTGCGCGAGTTTTGATCGATACGAGATTAATTAATAATGTACGACTGTTATGATTGTAACGGCAGAAGTCTACAACGAACGATGAGGTATGGTATGTACATATTTATCGTTCCATTCGAAATGGAATGCATCGATAAATCATTAATAGCGTTTCGTTGTTCGCTATAACGCCAGAAACGCGAATACGAAAAAAAATAAAATAATGTGACAGAGACCTCCAAAATGTCCACTTGTGTGCCGATTTCGGCATTTGCGTTGCTTTTTTTCTAAGTTTCGAAAGCTCTAATCAGATCGTTGATGAGAAGATAAAAAGCATCGCCTTCCAGGAAAGCCAAAACTCCAAAGAATTCTCGGAGGCAAGAGAACAGCCAGTAGCGGTCGTTATGGATAAACCGTGTGAGCTCCGCGTCGTCGAACAAAATTAAGAATTTTCCTAATCGCAACTCAAAATTCGATATCCAAAGAATAATCACGGGGGGAAGGCCAGCTGAAAACTGAAGACAAAAACTAATGAAACTCGTCGTCTGTGATGAGGGGGATGATTGCCGATGAAAAGAAACGTGCAGCAAAAAAGCGATTATTAAAAAAAAAAAAGAAGCAATTTTACGGACAGGTACACACGTAATGTTGTGCGTTTCCCAACAACTTCTACGAGATGAAATGCATCTCTGTTACGCAAGTTACACTGCAAATATTCATGAAATTGCCAAAATAAACACAATGAGAAAAATGAAACACAAAGTGGCTCGTCAGAGATCTATTTGCATAAACTCATAAGCACCGCCAAAATTCGCCATCTATATTTTGTAAAGATTTATCGAGTGGGTGGACGATTTACTTGAAATAGCGGTTGCGTATGACGTATGCAAACAAATAGTACATTAGAAAAGAAAGGGACACTGAAATTAAGGAAACAAAAAAAAAACAGTCAATTATATTTAGGATGATTACGTATGAGTGTAATTTTTCATGGTGGTTCAACATACCTAATGACGTTTACTTCTTCAAACACAATTTCCCACCACGAGGTAGCAACGCATAATTTCAAGGGGGGAAAAAAACACTACTGTTGTACCATTTTATTTCACACTATCGGTGAAAACACTCGATGATATTTTACAAGCGATGCTTATCACGATACGTGTAACACTGATTCACAATTCGTGCATACAACTCTGTCAGAAATAAAGTCCACGGGTATTTGTCATGCAGCCTTGATTTCGTCCGTATTTTCCGTAAGAAAAACACATGAATAAAAGTTCGTCGGAGGTGTGTCACCCAACTTCCAAAAGATCGAACAGATTGGAATACTCGTCTACCTGCCCGCGGAATAGCCGGTTTTACACAAGTATAAAATATTCAGCGGCGCTGTTGGAAAACCGATTTTCTCGTTGAAAAGCACAGGATAATATTGTATCTTAACCAAACGCGATCTTTTCCATGCCCATACTTTCCGTGCATTCGACCGACCACTACTCAACTGAAGTCCGCTCAACGACTCCCCGACTTTCATACGAAAACCCAATTCACAAACACGAGTGGATAAAGCGGCTATGGCGGCAAAGCGCCTCTACGAGCAATCTTGGGATGTGACTCACTACACAGGGACGACTCTAAACTGCAAGTATTTGGGTTCCTTCGTAAAGTCCACGTTTCCCTTAGTGCATTTTATTCGTATTTTTTTTTTTAAATATTGTGTTTTCTAAATAAAAATACAGACAAGTTTACAAGCTAATCATTTATATTTTTGTTTTAATTATGCATTATTTTATGTTATACCATAATTAAACATATATATACATATACATCATTTTTTAATATAATAAAACTGAAGGGGGCAACAATCTTCAGGTCTCTTGCATTGACTTACATAATTACAAAACTACTATATTCAATATAAATATTTTTTTTTTTTTCATCCAGGCACATTTTATATTTACATACACTGTTTCGTTTTTTTTCTCTGCACAGATCAAATTTGTTCTAATTTGTATTGTCCTTTAAGTATTTCGCGTGTAAAAGTTCTGTTACACAAAATATACGAACCGCGGAGAGATAATTTTGATTTTTAGTTTATCATTAAACTATTGAAGTACATAATAACATGTGGTACAATGCATAACAATTTCATCTGGAATATACAATGTATCAAGGTCAATATCATGCGTGAAGATGTACGATTATATTATATGCAAAATTATCGTCGTTGATACAGTGCACTACAGTGCCACAAAATTCTTGTATACTATTAGTATCTTCTAAGAATTATATCAAATTTTAGTCAAGTATTCTTTACAGGAATAGCTGTAAAAAAATGTATTGTTGTTTAATCTTTGGATTATCGAATTTAAAAAGATGCTTACGTTTAAGTAGATATTGAACATTGCTCGAAATATAGTACATGCTTATAAATTATGAAGATGTTTATGGAAATATCATAACCAGCAGAAACGGTTCTATGAACATTAACAGTTCTGAATAGTTTAAAAATATTTAACGACTTGTCTATATATATTTTGGAAAAATATCAATGATCTAAACATTATTAATAACATTAAATATACAAGATTATCGTTTTTATAACAATAATCTTAACCTACAACCACTAACTCTACTTTTACTGCACAGTATATGCACTTACCACTATATTCAATATCAGATTATATAATTACAATTAACAATAAGATATAAAATGTACATTCGATTAAGTAAACGCATATACATTAATTCTTAATACACTTCTTCTAATCTGATAAGTATTCCTGCTTTTCATAAAAAATATACTTTTATTGTCCTTTTCGAAGAAGTAAATAATACTTGATACATAATAAATTCAGCTAATATTGTATTACTTGAACTACATAACCTTTCAATTTAGGACATAAAATTAACTATTCTGTTCCCTCTGTTGAAAATACATTAAGACTACTGAACATTTTCGCTTTTTAATTCTGCATGAATTAGTACTATTGCACATTTTATGATTTTGAAAGAATCGTTAAACACAATGCATCTTTTGCACTTAATCTCTAATAAAACACAATCTAGAAATATATCATGTAAGATGAGTTGTTTCTAGGAAAATAAGTAAAACGTGCATATTTCGACTCGCTTGCAGTAAAATTAAGGAATCGTTTCGAAATGTCTTTAATAACAATGAAATATGCGACTTCTTTGTACTAATACTTATGCAGAGTTATTATCTTCTTTTCGTAGTGTTTTACGATAACAATTACAATGTTCAAATAATATAATTTAACAAATTTTGTTTAAAGACACATTTGTATAATTTGTGTTCTGATTTTTATAAAAACTAAACGTGTAATGACTTCTTTTGACGGACGGAAATGCATCGATTAAACTGAAATAGTAATATTATCAACGTTCTGATTTTTCCGAAAAATCGAAGTGTACGTGTGATCGAGTTTTTCTTCTTTCTTTCTTTTTCTTTAGATTTGTATTACACTGAAAAAACAACTTAAAAAAAAACAAGTACTCTATCTTTTTTTAATAATCTTTTATAAAAATAATTATACTCTTTAAATTAGAAATTTAATTAATACAATACCAAATTACTAATTCGGTCAAGAGCTAATCTTTTACTAATAATAAATTATAAGTGTAGTGATATTGCCCCGCACGTAGTCTATTGTGCCAATACAAAACTTTCCAGATATTTTCTTTCGCTTCAAAAGTAACAAAATATTTCGTATTTTTATATTAAACATATAATACTGCTACACTTGAAACGAAACGATAAATCTATAGCAGTGTAAATGATATTAATGTTATTTTTAGTAACAAATCTATATCATATTGCTATTAGCATTCTTTTACACATACAATATCTTTGTGCAACGTGGAAAGTTTTGTACAATAGGCAGTGAAATATGTAATAAATAAAAACAATGTTAATCAGAATATTGTAAATTAGATATTACATCTGATTAACAAGTTAAAATACTACCCTGAGTTTCGACACCTTTATTTAAAAAGAGGCATGTAAAGAATTATAGTCCTTTTATGAAAAATAAAGATTAACTTTGCCTCGTTTCGTTTTCCTTTCTTTCTTTGTCAGTGTATAAAAATATTCAAGGCATTCAACACTAACGTGTATATATATATGAAATGATACATATACATACACGTTACATATATATATGTATCACTTTGATAGGTCACGACTTACATTGCACAGATAGTAATTGTCACCCCATGTGACTTTCAGGTTCAGTTTTGTAATCGTGCATAGTAAGAATATAAGGCACAACACTAGCTACGCTTACCCTACCGATAAGACCTGCAAAAAACAAATCTTCCAAAACCCTAGGGTTAATTGAACGAAGAGGTGCAAGCCTCAAAAGAAGGCGAGGTAATCGGTCAGATCCCACACGTTGTTGCAACTCTGTCCACGCGGCTTCTTGTAAAACTTCAACCTTTTTACGCCAAACGCCAGCTAAAATATTATCTGGAGAAAGAAAGTCGAATAAGTATAAAATAGAATTACATTGTTAGAACGAAAAGCTCTATCTTACTCACCGGCGCTAAAAAGCGTTAGCGCTTTAAGGTACGCATATTCAACAGAGTCCACTTGCAGTTTATGAAGTGAACTAACACAATCTTGTAATCTACATATATGCTCTGTGACGGACTTTACTTTGCTAGCGGTAATTTTTTCCTGTGCGATACTAGCTTGCAAATGATTTATTATCGATGTTAGAATACTAGGAAGCGACAGAGTGTACGCGCATTGTGCAAGACCTAAAGTAAAGAGCTGTCCCCAGGAACTGCGTACCAACGTTGTTTGAACTTCAGATCTATAAATGTGCTTGATTTAATGCAATATTCATGTTCACAGCTTTACTTGATATCCACATTTTATGATTACGTACGGTAACGCTTGAAACGCCGGAATTCCTCTTGCCCAATGAACTGATAGAAAAAGTAATCTAGCAGCACTCTCGCATATATAATGTATAGATAAGTACGCAGGGGCTGGGCTGGGTGCTCTTAATTCAAACAGCGTATGCCTTTCTGATATTAACTGACCAGTCCATTCTTCTTCTGGTTCGCTCGAACCATTCACGCTCTGAATAAGAATAGATCATCATATAGCAACACGCAAAATAGAAATATCCGTAATATAGTGTAAACATAAATGAGACATACATCTCCAATAAGCTTAGCCATGCTATCTAATGCATGTGAAATAAGTAACCGTTCTCTTGCTAATGTTAATGCATCACTGAGATCACTATCACTACTTTGGTCTTCCATACTGGGACTTTCGGGTTGTTCCCAAGTCGAAGGTGTTTCAGACACTGGTTGTTGCGGTTCTGGTTTAACTCTAGGACTTCGATTCCCAACTTTTGTCGCCGCCGATTCACCCAAGACTGGTTTCCTCTCATGTTGAACAGCTACGATATGAAAGATTTATCTTCATTTCATATTTTGTACGACTTACGGTAAATATCAAATATATAAAAGACATTTCAGTGTTACATATGATACTCCAAACAGACATACAGTCACTCCTCATCCCCATTGCAAGGCATTTCTGAAGTCTACAATACTGACACCGATTTCTATGGTGTTTGGTAACTTCACAACTTTTGCTTCCTCTGCATTGATAACCCAATTGTTTTCGAATACTACGTTTAAAGAAACCTTTGCAACCTTCGCAACTTATTGCTCCATAATGTCTTCCACTGGCCCTGTCCCCACAGACCACACACAATTCTAACGACAGTCCTAAACCTAAAGAGCCGCGAACATCTCTTGCCAATTTCACCTGAAAAACAGCCATGTATAAAATAAATACGTGTAAACGCAATTACGGGAAACTTACGAGAAAATGAGTAAAAGAAATCGTACCTCTACATCGACATTGTTTAAATGCTCAATCCCAGAGTGTAAGTGAACCATGCCTGTATGAGGTCCCAAATTACGAAAATCTCTTCCCATTTTATTGTCAACTTTCTCATCGTGCACGTTATCAACGTGATTGTTTTGATCTCTTTCCATGTCTCTCTGAAAATATATCGAAAACTTATTAAATAATTTAAAATATCGTAGAAACTATACAATTTTATTTTTGGTATTTAATAGAATGAAAACGCACCATAGCGAGATGATGAGCTAAATTGTGAAAATTCCTTCCTAAATTTTGATCTATTTTATCATCGTGTAGGCCCTCGACGCGATCGTTTTGATCAACTTCCATGTCTCGCTGTAATAAAAAAAAAAAGAATCAAAATTTTTCATTTATCATTTATCAAAAAGTATATGACGAGCACCTCCGATTCGACATCAGCTACATGATCCACACCATGGTGATGAGACAAATTACGAAAATCCATTCCTACTTTTCGTTCCCCCTCGATTTCATTTAAATTATCGTGATCGCGTTGTTCCCTATGATCCCTGTCCATTTCTCTATAAAAAAAATAAAAATAAAAAAAAAATAAATTATTAAAGTTTTTAAACTGCCTGCATCGATGCGCGATACGTGTGAAAATATTTCTACGCTGATGTCACAGTGCGCGCGTTACGTATTTCCCAAACAATCAGTCGTTTCACATGTCGCTTAATGACGTAAAGTTCGACGGATGAAAAATATTCGCAGGAAGCGAATTCTTACGATATCTTTATATTCTATCGATTCGCCTCTTACAAAACAAAAAGGGAATCAGCTTCATTTTAAAACGAACACTTGTAATTATAATTGATTAAATATTTATCAGGCAACGGTAAAGGTAATTTTTTTATTAGGTAAAAAAAAAGTAACTTGAAATGCTGCCCCTGGAAAATATAATTTTTTTCGTAAAGGTTGCATAACTATTTGTATATTGAAACGAAGCATTACATCGAATATGAGCGGGCAAGTCGTGATCATGTATAGTCCGATCCCATCTAGGCAACACAGAGTGTATCGTTTAAAGGCTTAAGCATCGGCGGCGGTGTAAAAATGAAAACTGGAGCATTTGCCGCCCGCCCCTACCTGCCGCAACCCTTTCCTTCTACCATTTTAAGAAGTGAAAGAGATGGGTCCCGGAGTTCTTCGGTTCGTAGGTTGCTAAGCGGTTAGGCGCATGCCGATACCGCAGCCATGCTACGCTGGCTGTCATAGAGCGAATGGTCCATTTCCATACACTCGTGATTCGACTTCGTCACCACCGATGCCAGTGCAGTAACACGAGGGAACAGTGCCTGTACCGTTGTTCCCGAATAGTTAACATTCTTAGACCTTGCGCTCGTTGCATCGTATTACAAGAACGTTCTCTTTCACCCTTTCTAATCACGACTATAAACTTTCAACTTAGGAACCACGGTTACTTTCGAACGTGAACGAAATAACCTATTAAAAATTCTTACAATCGGTATCGGGACATTTAAATAAACGTCGTCGCGCGTACAGCACTATCTTCGTGATCAATAATACATACTACACGTATCAGATCTCGCGGAAGTGTCACGCTTGAAAATCAACGTAATTTTTTTTTCGTAATTAAGAATGTTACGACTCGGTAACTTGACACCTGTCCTCTTTTTTTTTTTTTCTCTCAAACTCGAGCCATCGACCTGTTTAGACACGTGTCATCGTTAAATATTAACGCATTTTATCGCCAAGTGTCTTTATCGTGCGTGATTCAGAGACGGTATCTTTAACGGAATTTTGGTGCGCCACTATGAGATGTCCATCGAACGAATCGAAATATGGCTCATAACGTAGAAAAGGTCAAACCGAGTTGAAAGTGTGAAACTCGTAGCAAGCCTATGATTTCATAACAAATTTTGTTGCCTATTTTGACTTTTTGCACTGATCGAAACGCGAGCCATTGGAAATATTTCATGAAACAAGTTGCGTTTCTTTCACACCGACCTTTAGAATACGTGCGACGTGTCTTACATTAAAGTTCGAGGACGATACGCACAATACACTACCTGTTGGGTCGACCTGTATCGCCGCATTTGCGTGTGTCGGCGGTGGCGCTCTCACGGGTCACGCACGGTTCTGAAAATATAACGTAGCCAGCCACGCGGTAATACGCGCGGAATATATTTGTGTGTTAAAAAGAACGATGTTTTAACGAGACTAACGGTGAAGAGAGCTACGAGAAAACGACACATTTGCGGCGCACGGAGTCGTTTCGCTCTGTTCGAACGCGGTCGGGCACGAAAACACCACGTCGAAGTTTAAAGGCAACCTTGCGCAGGTGAACGCAGCCAGACCGTTCGCTGTACTGGCAGGTTGGCAGGTCACTCTCTCGTGTACCGCCAAGACACACCGGCCAGGTGCATTCTCGCCCCGCTTGCCTGCTTTTCTACCTGAGCGAGAGCATTCGCCGTGGAGGACCGCGTAGTGGCCTCTCGACGAGCGTTACAGGTTATGTCACGTAATACACGCCCGCGATGACTTATCGGTTGAGGCTCGAGGTCGCGACGTCAATCGAGAATAGGTCAAACACGAACGGTTAATGGCGTAAATGTAGATACACGCGAGATATTAACTACTTTTGTGGATATTTTACTATTGTTCAGAACTATATAGAAATTCTTTGGCCAATGTGTGTGTTCATCGGACAACGAGCAACACTATGAACGTTAACTTTTGGTTTCTATAAGAAACCTTTCGTCAAATACTGGTTCTTCTAATAGACATCTAATATTTTCTTAACATTGTCTCAAAATCAATCGAAAACTTAAGTACTTGCTTAAGAAAAGCTTTTAACCGATATTGATTTTATATTTAATATCGTCGATCGTACAATAATGAGGAAGTACGATAATAATAATTTGATATACTTTTGACCGAAGTGATTTCACGTTTGAATAATAAAAATAATTATTTTATTCGCATCGGTTAAATAATGCACTGACTTTTAAAAATACTACATTGCCTTATAACCTTTCGAGTGGTCATTTCTAGTCAGCTAAAGATTTCTTGGAACAGCATCAGTGAAGAAGAATAGTCACTCGAGAGTAATTATTTCTATACGACCGGACTTCACAGGTAAAGGTCGCTCGTGGGTCCGAAGGTTACCTCCTACCTACTTGATCACCGCATCGACACAGATTTAACTCGTATCCTACTCGCTGCGTTAAATTGCATTACTAATCGTGCATCGTACTTTTTTTTTCTTTTAAATGTTATCGTATATAAATTTCTTCATTGTTTTACGCGTCACACTCGGCAAGAATTTACAATGACGTCATCCGCTTTTGTTCATAAAGATAAGAAACGATGTTACCAGGTTTTAACATTTCTCACAAGCTTTTTCTTCGTTTTCGATCGTTCGAATCAATTATATGACAAAGAAATCTAATTGTCTGTATCTGTGTTGAGCACACAGGTACTGTGTTTAAATCAAATGCAAGATAAAAACGTGAGGTTACTGGAAAATACACCTGTACAAAAAGCAAATAAAATCACTAACAAAGCAATCTTATTATCGACAGAACGCGCGATTGCACGACGGTAATGTCAAAATATCATATGATTCCTATTCTATCGTTACGTGAACGTGATCTTTTATTTACTAACATTCCGCATCATAGAAAATATACAAACATTTTACACTGTGTAACACATTAAGCGGGACGTGCCCAGATTGGTACGACGTGGGCGAGCCATCGTTCTGGATTTCATATATCTTTATCGTACGAAGGGTAACGAAAAACTAAACAAAGGTAAACAAATAATTCTTGTGTAGACTTACCTTTGTTATTAACAACGACGTCTGATATGACTACGCGTCATTTGGACAGTTCATAGCAACAACTAAGCTTCGTCAACCATCCGTGGGTTAGAGTTCATAACCTCTTCTAACCTTTACCTTTCCTTTGCCTCTTTCCCCCCGTGCCTAACCCCACCGCTCACCTTTATACCCACTCAACATTGCATTTACTGGCATCGATACACAGTTGCATACAGATCGACGATTTCAACCTGTGTTATAGAATTTGTATGTCGCGCCAAGTTCTCGGCAAACTTAGGAACTGTTCATAGGAAGTATCGCCATGATGGAAAGAGGAAGTTGCCATTTTACCATTGTTCGTGTTTAAATTTATTCCAAATCCAATTGAACAAAGATGTATAGAATTTGAAAAATATATTTATTGAAATATTCAATTTTTTAGACTGTATCGATAGTTTAATTATTTCTAATGGTATAAAGGGTTGTAATAATAAAATACTGTATATTGTAAAATTTATGTATTGCAAATAATTTTTGTACGTAATACATGTAGTACATTAAATCAGTGTACAAGTATTAATAAAACATACCATTTTGCGAATATCCATAACAACATCGCTAATGTTGTATATACTATCATTACTGAAGTATACGTTTACCTATGAATTAATAAAATTCTTATTATTCCTATTGTATCACTATTAAATTTTTACAGATATTTAGTAATATTTGCAGAACACTCTGTTTCCTTTTATTATTCATCTATAATGTTTAATGTAACCAAAGTAAATATTATAATATCACAAATCAAAATGAAAGACAATTTATTATCTAAGGTTACATTAAAAAATATACTAATAATAATATCATTTTGAAATGTCGAATATAATTAATTATATGTTCTTTGAATAACAATTCATAATGTAAAATGCTATAATTTATTTACATTGATAGTCAAATATAATATAAATATAATACACATGAACATCTTCATTAATGTTCCAGTATCTTTTAATAAGAACAGATCTCACTTCATCGGTTAATTTCATTTGTAGGTACCATTCTGAATAATGTAAAAAAATTTATCACTTAAAATTTCATATACCCACACTAAATATTTGAATTTTTTACTGTATTTGTAAATTATGACTTATATTAATAATAATTTTGTACACGTTTCGCGTAACAATCCAGATAGCATCATATGTTCAGAGGACGTCCTTTTCATGTCCTTTTTCATGTTCTTAGAACTTAAATTTCGAATGTTTTAGAATTATTCATCTCCAAAGTTCTACAAATACATTCTTGAGATTTGTATTTTGTGTGTGAATTTTGTAACTCTCGCAAACTTCTTAATCTTTTACAATATTAACAAGTATAATTAATATTGTCAATACATATAACATATAGATGGTAAGACATCAGATATTACCACCTCGATTTCCATCATTATTATTACGCGCAGCGAAAAATGTTTCGCATAGAATCGAATAATTTCAAGAGGAACACATTTTTATGTTATACAACGAAGTTGCCTGTATAAAATTATTATATTTAATATCATTAGCTAAAAAAATGATGAATCAATTGATTCAATACACTCTTCTTACATTACAAACAAACGAAAAATTAGGTATGTATATGTAAATTAAAGATACATTTACGTTATATAAAATATTATGTACATATGTATTACTTATAGTATCTCAATTTTTTTCTTTTTATAAGTATTATATCTCTGTAAAAAAATGATTGCTTTCAGTTATATGTACGGACATTACATTCGTTAATGGTACAAACTTAATGACAAATGCAGAAAACAATCTGGGGAATCATTTAATTTTTGGTAAGTTAATAAATTTAGTTATTAAACTAATTTTTAAACATAGAAATATTTGCAAACGCAATATTTAATAAAAATAATATATATATTAAATTTTCTGAAAACAAAGAAACTCCACAATTTAATGCAAAGTCAATAACAACTATAGAGAAATACTTAAATATTATAGTTGCCTTATTAGGACGTCCTCTGAACGTAAGGATCATCCAAAGCAGATATTCTTTGGATGCGCATTAGATATCTTTGTGCTATTTGTGAACAGTAAAAATACAAAACCTAAATTTGATTTCAGTTTTGTTTGTAGATACAATACAGAATTTGTCATGTATAACTGGTCACTACTCGTACTCTATTATTTGTACAATGGTACTTTTTTTCATACATATTTAAAATTTATTACACTCGTAAGATGCATATGAAAGTGAATACATCCGATCTAATGATATTAATTTGTAAAATTTATGTATGATATTTTTAGATATGTTTAACACCTCATTGTTTTAGTTTGTCATTCTTTAAAATAATAAGTACTATCATTAATAACAAACTAAGTTAATCTTATACATTAACATATGAAATATGTTATTTCATAGATGCATATGCCAAAGGTCCAAAGCACCATAATAATTTTGCACACAAGTGTCAATTGTGATTGTTCTGTTAATTATTTTAGAGGATACTGCAAATTGATCACAAAGATTCTGCGTATTTTGTTAAAGGCAGACACAAGTAATAGTAGATCTAAAACTTTTTCTAAGGATCCTTAAAAATATTTAGCACATAGTATATCTCCGAAAAATTTTTTTTTCCAACCCATAAATTGGAATACCTAAAGTAAATTATAATTATTTTATTCCTATGTACAGTAAATATTAATGAAATTAATATTTTTGCTGTAATTATCTAAACTTACTTTTATATAGTATTGATGCATTTAATGGCCAAATACTTCTTGGCTAGCAAATACTATATAAAGAAAACCATCTTCATCTTTGTCTCTTTGATAAAGTTGTGCCACAGTCATACTACCACTTACCAGACTTATTTGGTTTACTAATAGAAAAAATGCCTGTGTTGGGTGAAGTTGTAGCCTACGTCTGTTAATTATAATTATTAATCAATTATTATTAACTATCAGATAGATAAGGATATTTAAAATACATTACAAAATGCATTAAAGCATACCGAATTAATTTTTTAAATTCTGCTAGTGTTAAGTAATCTGGCACCAAAAATTTAAATTTGTCCAACACAGGTAATTGTTTTTCTCCAGAATATCGTTCAACAATAATAGGTATTTTATTTGGATAATTCATTTTAAGCATTTGTACCTCAGCAACTCGTTGTACTAAAGTTTTAAAAAATTTCTAATGTTTCAATATAGTATAAACGATAAAACGATTGATTTTTCGGAAAAAGAGTATACATATTATATAACTTATGCATATTAATTAAAATGAATAATCAGAACATTTATTACAAAACAAATGATTGTTTTTGTTTAAATTGTGCAACGATATGTAGCTTGAATCATTAATAAAACAAAAGAATATTACACAGCAATACGAGCAAAACATTGCAAAGGAATACTTTGTTCAGTATTTATTTTATACTACATATAGAAGAAATGTTCTAAATAAAATACAAATTATACTTACTGAACGAACGCCTTTCTTTAAACGTCTTTGGTGTTAAATCCATGTTGGTTTCACTATTAGTTACGACGTATTCGGCACGATATCAGCTGTAAGCTTATGAAAGTATTCTTGACGGGTCAAAATAATGCCTGTTTGTAGCTTAGGTTGGGTTCTATAGACACTAATGACAACATATGTTCGTATTGCCAAGTGCTGCCCCCTTAGAACTTCATGATGGTTTTGTATTCGACCACACCAATTCTTCCTTCATTGTCTCTTCGAAAGCGAATCTTTGTCATGAATTACATAGTAGGAAGAGAAGGTTCGAGGCAGCCCTAAAAGTACAACTTTTGCACGTATGTATTATCATTGTACGATATGCACGTTTTTTGCATTAAACAAAAGTCTACTAGCGTAAAATATCGAATAATATAAATAATTTACTTCACAACGAACTAATACAAAAACATACTAATACATTTTATAGGTTTCGTTCCGCAAGAAAGGCAACGATCATCCTGTTGTGACTGATAACCATCTAGGTAAAGTTTTAGTCTATGACCTCCCCTTGGCTTCGAAACAGGAATACGTGTGGACATCTGTGCGTGCGGCAAGCACAACTGTCGTGTACGTGAGAGTGCATGCGTGGGTGTCGCAGCAGGCGTTTCTTTATGAATAGAGAAATAGTGCTCGCGCCTTGAGTGCTTTGTGAGTCGGTGAGTGTGAATTTCTCAGTGAAAACTTGTGCCGGAATTGAATAAAAAATACAGTCGTACGCAGCATGAGAAACGTACCGACCACTCATCGGAATTGAACGTGCAACTCCGTTAATGCACGCACGCTAGACACCGAGGAAGGGGAAGGGGGAACAAAAACACCTGTATACTAAATATATAGACACATAGGAGACACGGCAGGAACGAAAGACAGTCGTTTCTCGATAATCGTAAAAATCACGATGGAGGGGTCTGTACCAGCGGAAGCGTCGTGCTATGTCGCCTAACCGTGAAGATCCGTGAAGATTTCTTGGATCGCGTTGCTTTTTGTACGATTTCAAGGGCCGAAAGCTTCACACATGCGAGATTGTGCATCAGTTAGTTAGTCTGGTCGTTCATCCGTTTGCCTGGTCGTCTACCCCTTCTAAATCGTCCTGACACAACGTTTAACGGGGGTACAAAAAGAATAAACATGGTGGCGGCGCGAGAGAGATAGAAGACACGGGGAACGAGAGGAGGGAGAAAGAGAGTCAGCCAGCCAGCCAGCTAGCCAGCCAGCCAGCCAGTCAGTGTGCCAGAAGCGACGCAGTTCGCCTCGTGCTGTCTTTGTTTCTATGAAAAGAAATCCGTCGTTCCTGAACATCCACCCATTTTTGCATTTATCCGCTTTTATGAGATTAAGAATCGTCGATAATACAAGTTACTCGATTAATGCTGATAGAACATTTCGCTCGTAAACAGTTATCAAGGTGCGGCCACGTTCTTCGTGTTCGCGGTGTTTGCTTCGATTTTCATGCGTGCGGGGTCCACGACCGAGCGTGTGAGAAATTCAGTATATCGTCTGGCAACACGGTGGCTCGATTTCGGCTTCAAGCCGCCGCAGGGGTGATATGATATGTCGCTGCCGGTGGAATTCCGTATGATTCGATGCCGGTGACGACGATCGTTTGACATCGTTTCTTTGAATTTGATATATATGATGTGATCAATTCGGCGACAAGAACGCGCGAACTGTGGATTAGAATTTCCAACGGTATGTAAATAGAAAATGTTCATCCGATTCGACGAATAACTGCCCGAGAGAAGACTCGAAGGAGATTTTTTAATCGACATACGAGAAGCTACAGTGAAAATTCTCTGTCAAAAGATATTCGCAACCAAGCCACGGTGTTTCGTAAGATCGGAACGTGCGACCGCAAAGAAGTTTATCAACGACGATGAATATTCCTCGAATCTTGGCGACAAGTTGTTCGATACAAATCGTACGGCGCTTCTGGTTAGTGATTATGCTCCGAGAAAGGTGAATCTGTCGGAGAGTGAGAGCATCGAAGCGAAAAACGACCAGCGATTTACGAAGTCTGAAATATATTCGAGTTTTCATCGAAATATTATTACGTCGAGGACAGGAAAAGGTTCAATGGAGCGAAGTGGTCAAACTTGGTCGGCCCGGTGCCAATAACCTCCGGTCAGGAGGTAGACAGTTTTCGCACGATGCGTTTGCCCTCGTGCACGATAGATTATAAAATTAGACGTTCGAAACCTCGCACGAAGGTAAAAGGAGCACATCGTTTCCATGCGGTAAAGAAGGTGGAGACACTGACTGGTGGTAACGAGCGAAGGGTCAAGCGACGAAGGGAATTAATACAAGTTGGATGAATAATTCCCAGGGGGGTAGACAGCTGTGCGTAGTCGGAAGTGACGTCAGACGGTGGGTTCATAGTTCCTCTTATTTTTCTCGTTCGAGCGTCGCGGCCGTGCAGAGGGGTGCGTTCTCGTGACGACGAACACCACCGAAAAAACCAAGATACACAGGGGGGGCTCCCCGGTCGCGCTCGTTGTCGCCAAGCGAATTGCGTCGCAATTTCTAGTCCGCTGCATTTACATCGAGAGTCTTTTTTTCTCGACAAGATATTTTTAGACGATCGATTTTATTTCAAACTGCACGTGCGAGAGCCTTCACGCTTCGTGTTTTGGGGATCGAAACACGTTCAAGTGGCATCTAACGAGCCAAACTAATTCGACACTCATTGGAGCGTACATTGGCAACAGTTTGGACACGTATCGAGAGACTTAATTTTTTCGGAAGTTCCCACTGACCGTCGGCACGGGGGAATAGCATTTCCACGCATTCATTTCGACACAGACGAGAACGAGACTGAAAGTATCGCGTTAAAATTAGTCGATTAATTTATTTAAAGGAAGCGTTGAGCGCCACGAGTTCACGGATCGTCCGTGGCCGCAGCAGACCGACCAAAAATCATCGCTCTCGCGAGAGAGAAATTGACGTGGATCTGACAAGAAATTTAAATAAGTCAAGCAATAACGATTGCGTTCAACTAGCGTTAACCTCAACGAACCAATTATGTTTTTTATCCGAACGACAATACACTGTAACGTGTTAGAGAATATTGGAACCGGCAACACGGAGATCGCGAGACATTGAGAAGGGTAAAATAAACACGACTGATCGTCGAATGATGTCTCTCTCTGTGAAAACCACACGTTTTTAAATAATCGTCAAATGGACACAAATGACTAACTTAACGTTATCGGCAAGCACGATCGAGATGCCCCTATCAAGACCGAATACGTTCGTACCCGCGAGCGCAATCTCGACGCAGACTTACATCTCGTCGAACGAGAACAATCATCTGCCACCCTTGAAGGCGAGCACGCTGGCCCTGAATCAGCCCGCCGGTGAGTCGTCGCCTAGTCACTTGGCCCATTCCGGTCACATGGTCGGCACTCACCTGCCCAGCTTGAGCTCCAGTGCCAACAACAGCCTGCTGAGCCTGATCGGTAACTCGGACAGCCTGAACTTGAGCCTGAGCTCGTACACCAGTCACAAGTCCAGCCACAATTCGAGTCACAATTCCAGCCACAATTCGAGTCATAATTCCAGTCATAATTCCAGTCACAATTCGCACACGCAGCCGAACAGCCAGTCGAGCACCACCGCGCTGGTGAAGAACGGACGGCCGGACGGCGGTTCCAGCGGCAGCGCCGGCGGCAAACCGAAGACCATCACCGTCACGCCGGAGCTGGTGATGAAGATCTACGTGGACAAGCTGACGCCGTACGAGCATCACGAGATCTACAACTATCCCCAGATATACTTCATCGGTGCGAACGCGAAGAAGAGGCCGGGCATACTCGGCCGTCCGAACAATAACGACTACGACAACGATCAGGGTTCCTACATCCACGTGACTCACGATCACGTGGCCTACAGGTACGAGGTGCTCAGGGTGATCGGTAAGGGCTCGTTCGGCCAGGTGGTCAAGGCTTACGACCACAAGCTGCAGGAGCACGTGGCGCTGAAGATGGTCAGGAACGAGAAGAGGTTCCATTGTCAGGCTCAAGAGGAGATCAGGATATTGAGGAAGCTACGGGAACAGGACAAGGACGACACGATGAACATCATCCATATGTTCGACTCGTTCACGTTCCGTTGCCACACGTGCATCACCTTCGAATTGCTCAGTATTAACCTGTACGAGCTGATCAAGAAGAACAAGTTCCAGGGCTTCAGCATGCAGCTCGTCAGGAGGTTCGCGCACTCGCTGCTTCAATGCCTCGACGCCCTCTACAAGAACAAAATCATCCATTGCGACCTGAAGCCGGAGAACGTTCTTCTGAAGCAACAGGGACGCAGCGGTATCAAGGTGAGCGATTTTTTCACGCTTTTTTTGGGGGAATCACCCGCGACAAGCAGACGCGCCTAAAGTTATGAAAAGTACACCAAGGAGATTGCCTAGGGTGAATCTTAAATCGCTTTTGCTGCATATTTGATTAAATTCTTTCGCAAACTTTCTTCGAATCTCTGCATCTTGAACGACCGTAGTTCTTTCTTCTTTTGTTCTTGCCAGTATACAGGATTTTAATACGCGAGTTGTTCTATAAGTCCTTAGAAAAAGATAGAAAAACAAATTATTTTAGGTAGATTTTTTTGTTATTTTTCAACATAATCTCCTTTTAGCTCTATACATATTTCCAAGTATTTTTCCAACTTTTTTAAGCCATCTAAAAAGTAAGATTTCGAAAGGTCCTCAAAATAAGCATCTGGTTGGGCGGTGACCTCCTCGTCGACGTTATGTTAAATAGTGCATAACTCTTGTACCTCAATCTCTGATACTGTATTGTACAAAACGTACGAGAGATCAGGTTTCTGGAAAATTGAAGAGGATGAATCAAATATCAGGTATGAATAGAGGCAGCGTTTTATTTGTGTAGCATGTCAAAGTTTTGAGTAAGCGATAGAGTCACTCGTGTAAGTAATCGACTAATTATTCTAAGCAGTGCATTTGTTGCATACATCATTGTCTTCTATTATTTTGTTCTTTGTGGTGGTAAACGTTCCACTACATGCGTCACGGGTACAGAAATATTTATCTTGACTAACCTCCGAAGATTACGTACCTCAGATCGATGATACACTTCCTAGTTGTGTGAGTAATCTGCTCTGAGAAACAATTTTTCTAGAAGGTTACAGAAAAATTGTCCACGCGTGTAAATTGGCCGGTACCGTGAGTAATAATAAATGCGGTAGAAAAGACCTTTTCAGAAAATTATAAAACAGTTCTACAAATAAATAAAATAAAATAAATGTGTTGCAAGAGTAAAGTTTAATTTTCCTATATAACATATCTTATATTTTATGTAGAATTGTTATAGAATTTTCTGATTAACAAGATACTGTTCTTCCTACTGTATTTATTATTGCCCTTAATGCTAAATTACACGTCTGACTAAGGCACACGAAAAATATTTTTGTACCGAAAATGTAAATGAAAGTGTTTCTTATCACGCAGGTTATTTAACATCGCAAACATGATCTTGAAAATATATTTAACATCGTCGTTTTTTTTTATAGCTGATATTCAAACTGTTGACCTTTAACTTATTGAGAAAGTACCAAGGATCCTTCATTGTATTATGTTCATAATCTGGAATGACCTTCTATCACAGGTCGTCGACCTTGCCCAGAACGTAGGTCGCCGAACTTGCATTTAAACAATACCTGAAAAGTACAATACTTTCATTTCAAAGAAAAAGAACAAACGAAATTGATTGTAAGATCGTCAGATTTCGTCTACGCGTGCAAAAGAGTCTTTAACACGTATGACGTTAGCTTGCAAACTTTTCTTTCGTGTGCCTTCAAATTTTTCAGCTAGAAATGGGCAAAATTCTCATCTACCATTTACCTGAAATTTTGCCCATCTCTGTCCTCGGGCGATCGTATCGGTCCGTTAGTACCGATTTCGATCTACCGACGTCGCTAGTATCGAACGAGAAATTGTTATTTCTCAGTTCCCGTGGGTTCTCGGGAGGAACGTGAACGACCGTGTCTCGTGCCAATATTCGATATGTTCTGTCAACGTCGTGGATTTTTTTCGGTCGTTCGTAAGATTAACCAGAAACCTTCGACGGACAACAAACTTGTCGTTAGCCTGAATACCGCAAGGCATAAACAGAATAAGCGCGACAAGCTGGCTCGCGTGCTCACGATGTGCTTGTACATAACCTGTGCGCGACGGTATATATCTATATGCAGGCACGTAAAACACATAGGTTTCGTGTTTACCCATACACGGCGCGCGTGCACACACGCGGTTTCGTACACCGATGCACGCCGGAACCACAACAATACGCGAAGATTAGCGTATTGACAAATGCAATCGCACACACGAAGTGTCCTTGTCCTCTGCAGTAAACTCGGGGGACGATGCACGTCCGAGCAACGCCGTATGTATCTCCGTCGGTCTATAGAATTTACACGCAATATCGTGAACTTTCGACTAAAGCCGCTTTCCTCGCGACCTTGCCTAGGTCGGCTTGCTTAAAGGTCTACTGTTTTGCCGGTAGCCTTAACGTCCTCTATAATTGTCCCATATAACAAACGACCAGACGATTGTAGCATTCGTGATCCCGTGCATGAAAATAATGTTCTAGGAATATATTCGACGCGCTGTTTGTCACTCGAATTCGATTGCCAATAGAGCCCGCAGGGGGGCGCGTCACTCGTGCTCGAGTGATTCTCTTATTCGCGTGTTTCTGCCAGAGTTCTGATGGAACTAATCAAGTTATTGACTACACCGTTACGATAATAAATTTCATATTTTTATTTGTCGTTCGTAAATAAAATTATCCCGATTCTGTCGAGATCCTGCTGCAATTGAGAGCCGAGAGCGCGCGTGCTTTATTGTTCCAACGAAGAATAAATGCGTAATTATGCATTACGTTTGCCTTGGTCGTAGATGCCCCTAGACGAGAGCTCGCGTTACAAGAGATTAAGATTAGATTACTAGACACCGAGTACAGAAATGGACATTTTTATACAGATAAAGATTTCATACAAAGTATAGAAGATGAATAACACTTTTTTGTTATTAAATAAATTCGAATAAAATTTCACGATATAATTTAACAAACAGAAAATCAACGTTCGAAGAGGAAACCGATAAACGAATAATTTTTACTGTCTTGCAGGCTTTTAAGCTGCGTCCCCACTGGGTCGGCACGGCTCGGCATTTGCCGATCGGCACAGCGTTCGGCAAAAGGCGGCAAAAGGCGGCACAAGGCGGCACGGCCGTGCCACTGCTATGCACCGCGGGCAAAGCCATTTCTTTGCCGACCCAGTGGGGACACGGCTTTACAGTTCGGGTTCTCGCAATCTGAATTGTTAGGAGCTTCCGGCTGTAACCGCGCCCTTTCGAAACATACTTATCTTTATTAGGGTCCTGAGGACGCTCTGTCATTGATGTTTCCTAGTACGAGCAGTTTAAACAAGTCGACAGCTGAAACGTATTTCATTATCAGTACGTGTCCGTAGGCCCTCGACAAAGCTGATGTAATTCGTGGAAATTTCACGAGGATCTTCAGAAATAATGCATACTTCGTTTAGGGTATGCTGCCCGTAAATAATTTAATTGCACAACTCGCCTGTAATTGATAATTTAGTGTGAAACGTAGTAGAAGGATTCATTTACGTAAATACCAGTCTTCGAACATTTCACGGGCAAATGATCTGAACATAATTGTTAATTCCACTCATTTGTTTTCATTCCCGTATTTGCGTTTAACCTTTCGCGTCCACTGTTTTCGATCTGCTTCAAATTCAGATCATTCTTCTTATAGTTTTTTTGAACTTTATTCCTGCAAATGTAAAAATTAATTTGCATATTTTTTTCCATAATTCGTGTTATAACCCAGGATTAAATCGACCGATAGAACAGGAGAAACCTACACTGATAGAAACTTCGTTAGAATTGCGATCGCGTTCGAGTTTCATTATCTTTCCGTAATAATATTCATCAAACGCACGGGCACTTCTTCAAACGAGCGTGGATCGAGCCTCGAGCATTATCGGATACATTAAATAAGGTCGTGATTGTCGGTATTGCGAGGCGATCGAGCATCGTATCGAAAGCAACGAAGTGTGAATCGAACGCGAACGCGAACGCGAGGAAATAAGTCAGATCCCAACGACATATAATATTCCACGGCGAGTTTGTCGCCATTCAATTTGTCTCGTCTTTCGCGACACAACAGAAAAAAAAGATTCAATTTGCTCGAAGAATTTGCATCGACATCCTTCGACGTGAGATCGTCAATGTCTTGCAAATTCACTAAACATTTCTGGAACGTCGTAGCGACAATTCCACGGACCATTACGCAACACGTTCTGTCACCCTGAATTTATGAATATTTAGCGTACGCGAATATTTGATCGTTCTATTTTCTTAATTCCGCTCGACTAATATTTGACCAGCGAGCTTAATGCGCCTCGGGTTCCAAGTATTATTTTTTTACCGTGCCACGCGAATATTCATCGATCTCTCGTAAGAATCTCCTCAAGGATGCAAACAGTGGTATTTTTTTCATCCAACGTAACCGTGTTCACGGTTGGTGTTCCGTTCTCGTTGACCATCTGGTGACTTATCGCGCCGTTTGTCTTTCAGACTCGGCGCGAACCAGAAGAACGAAAAAAAAAAAAATGTTCTTTGTCTTCCCGCGCAGTTTCGAAACGGTAAATCTAATGCAGTATCAACGCGTTGCAGCGCCCGTAAATTAGACGATACGAACGCCAGAAAGGAAACATAAGTAACGCGTAAACGCCAGGACGCGCGGCGCTTCGTCTCGCAGGAAACAGAAGTTTACGGCAATTTGCGCGAGAAGGGCAGGATTTAACAACTTGTATCCACGCAATTTGCAAGATACGCGCAGGGCGGATGGTGTTGGTACAGTGAATCAGGTTTTACGAGTACCACGCTAACGTTGTGCGTCGCGTCATAATTATTCACCGCGACGTGTATTTTCGTTACGTTCGATAACGTTGGTATCGATGTCGAACGAGCTGCACGCTTCCACGTACGAATTTTTCAGCAATCGCGGCGCTCCGTCTCCCGTTTGCGCGAAAAATCACGACTCGTTATGCCGCGGAATATGTATACGCAGCACGAGTCGTGTAGGAACCCAAAAACGATAAGCTTTTACGACGCTGTTTCCTTAAATGGCCGATCTAAAAGTTTCTTTACGCGTCTACTACCGTGGCGGGCACCGGTGACCGCTGTTTCGAACTTGTCCTTAAAATATTGACGATAAATACCTAAACTTTTACAAATCAGTGAATAAAATATACTTCCATTGGTCGTGCTGTAATTTG